CTTTTAAGATATCACCTTATTTGTTTGCTACTTTTTGGTTCATCTTCTAGGGACTGGGAGAGTGGAGTCGGTAGGGGCCTATATATCCAATATCCATAAGCCTTTTGCAAAAGAACAGATAGGACACTGATATGATATATTATGAGTGGTCTCATGAAATTTACATGTGACATATGACCACTATCAAGTGGACACATATGACTAAGAAAATTAAAACAAAATGGGTCATAGCAATTTGTAGTAGGGATGGGAAAATCGAACACATGATCTCGAATGCAATGTTACCACTCTTAACTAATTGAGCTATAAATTTCTTCGTCAGACTTGAAGTTTAGCTTTGGAAAGGAAAAACAATAAAGAAAAGTTGTTGGGCTTGTAGCATCATTGGGTTTAATTTCTCGGCTCCAAAATTAAAACCTCAATTTAAAAGTTAGCCCATCAATAGTGGGTCCAAGTGGCCCTGTAATTGATCCTTAGCCCATCAACGGTGAACTCCACAACATATTTGTAATTTGTAAACGCCAACCCATTGATCAAGAGGTTAAAACACAAGATATCAAAGACTTGCTAAGAAGAATAAGTAACCTATTAGATGGTTAAGAAATATATTTTCTTTGAAATTATACATCAATTTCCTGATCAAAGAGTCCAAGGTGCATAAATAGGTACATAGAAGAAAGATTACATCTGATAGAAAAAGAAAAAAAAAAGGAGAAAGAAGAGAAACTAGCAATTATTGCACTGAGATCACTACAAAGTACAGGTTATATTGAAGACAGAGAAAGATTCAAGTATAATGCATATGCCTTTTAATTCCATCAGCAACCAATCTGATCTGGAGTGAATATCAGAGCCTGTAGTGTGTCAGAATTTCGACGTTGATCGAGCACTCTACCACAATACCACCAACACTGACTGCAGATACTGGAGCAACAGTTGACAGAGGACTAATAAAAGCTCACTCAACCTTAATCAACCCTTGTTGAGCAAATTGAATATGCATCAAAAAGACCCTCGATGCCGTCAGAAACCTCCTTGATCCAATCCACAGCAGTACTACAATAATTTTGAGAATCGCAATACACCAGCAACTGCATCTTGTATCGGGGATCCAAATTTGCTGCTACGTCTAATTTTCAAAATCGCAATAAAACTCCTACATTCCCATTCTCTGCCGGGTAAAGCTGCAGTATAGGAACGGTCATGCTCTTGCAGGACAGAAAATGCACCCTTTTACTTTTTAAGGCTGTTTAAAAAGTAAGGTGTGTTGAATTCCATCAAACCGGAAGCGAGGCAAGTGCTAATCAAAATCCAATCCAACCTGGTCTTACTTCTAATTTGTTGGTCCTTCTTAGTAAGAAATAGCATTGGGTTGACCAAGTAAGACAAGACTCTCTACAAACGAATCCATGAAGTGGTAGCTGTATCCATCAGTTTTAAACTCTTTAACTTGTGTGGTCTTAGGGTCCACCGATAGAAGCATCCCACCATACATTATGAACACTAATTCACAACTCTTTCTAAAACCAAACGGCTCAATTAAAGTTCCTTCCAAGCATATACTCATTAATTTAGTCCATGATTCAGGCACACCAAACTCTTTCATGACCCACATGTGAATACAAGTAATAGCATTTGATCCCTCTGAAACTTCATCATATGTCTCAAACAAGGCAAGGGACTGCCCATATCTCGACATAAAGCAATTCTTTCTTTTCAAAGCATCAGGCACCGTTATCTTTCCAAATACCTCATTGACCATATCAAACCACACAATGCAATCACCCTCGTTCTTCGAGGATTGCTGCCAATGCGTAACACCATTAACAAAAACTTGTCTGTATCTAAGACCAATACCTGCAGGGTTAAAGTCCGCAGGAATAACAGCAGCACTAAGAGTCTTCCAGGAGCCCCTGGCTAATGACCAAACCTCAACCTCACATGGGGCTTCGCTTAAAAGGTCGCTCACAATTCTCAAAACCTTGTAGTCATAGGTACGCGAATCGTAGCCAAAGGCGTAACTTGCTATCATAAACTTTCTGATGCAATCTGTGGGAAAAGGAATTCTAGGCCTAGGCAAAAACATAAACTTTCGAACAGAAGGGTTCCAGATTATTGTTGCAAAATTAGCAGCGAGGCATATCAGCCCATTAAAAGTGTCAACCACATGGAAATTCTGAAGTAAAAAAGTGATCTTTTTGGGAAAATAAGCGGTGTTATGGTAAATGAATGGATTTACAAGCTTTTTGTAGTCACCAAATTCAGGGTTGTCCCAGTGCAAGGAGAAAAGCTCACCAAGCTGACAAGCAGCGCCCACATTCTCAGGTAAAGCGCTTAGCAGAAGGAGGTGACCGTCGTTTTGGTTGCTGGATTGGGCTGTGCGGCGGCTGAGGTGGGTGTGGGTGAAGGTAGAGCTTTTGATCAGCGACCACCATGATTTGCACACTGCTCTGAATTTGATTAGAGATTTGATGGGCAGCCTCAGGAGGATTTCTTGTATGACTTCTTCAGGGAAGTAGTCTGCCATGGCTTTGATTGTCTGATGTTTTGCTCTAACTTTCAATTTTCGATTATGCCTGCGATGCAAGAGTTGGGATTTGGGGGGTTTTATATATGGAAAAAAGTATAGCCTATGGGTCTGTCTGGTTTGGGTTTGATCCCCCTACTTCATCCACACAAAAAAAAGGTATAGCCTATGGGGTGCTTTCTGTTTACGGGGTTACAGAGGTCTGGTAGTTGGTTGGCGCTGGGAGTTAATAGGGCATATTTTATAGAGACCAAAACGCAGGCAGCTGGGCTACGACTTTTACCCTAAACCCTAAACGCAGGCAGGTTTGAACTTGAGACTATGAAAATCAGAGTCCCTTTTCCATTGGGTTTAGAACCCGTTGGCTGTACTGCTCGAGTTTGTATTGGAGTTTGGCTCCAATTTGGACTGTATTCTTAGAGGTCATAAAGTATAATATTTGTGGAGTGGGATACAGTTTGATTGGTTGAGCTCTTTCATTTTTATCCATGTGGATAGTGGTTCTCATTTATTCAACTCGAGCTTGTATTGAATTCAATATCTTTTTAGCTTGTTTGAGCCCGATCTGTTAAAAAAACAAATCAAATGAAACTAATGCTTGATAAATTTTAAACAAGTCAATTAAGCACTATAATATTTGACTTGACTTGTTTACACTTTTACGTTGTAAAAAACTTACATGTATCAGGAACAGCATAATAACATAATGATACGTGAAAAAATTATTCTACATGTCATTGCGTTATTAGAAAAAAATAATAAAAAGTATTATTCCATTTACATGAGAGTTCCTCTCCCTAAGTTGGCTTCCTTCCATGGCTGGTGAGCAAATGAAAAAAAGAAGAGACGGTTAAACGCACACTCTTCAAACACCCGTTCAAGGAACTAATCAAAAACAACTTTGGTCAATGCTGGAGGAAAGCAAAAGGGACAGGGATAAATAATTTTATTCTTCCTGGAGATACTTTTCAATGGCACTGAGCTGGGAATTTGTACCGTATTATTACCTATGATTTGTGTTCGAAGTGCCCACTGAACTCAAATTAATTAAAAATTCTTGCATAGGTATAGCTTGACACGAACTATGGAATCATAAATGATGGTGGCACCGTGGCACAACTCTCACTTGAGGCCCATGCAAGCAACTATTATGCTTAAGTGGTTAAACACGTTTACCTACACTCTTGTAGTAAATTAAAATATATAAAATTAAAAAACTGTTCCAAAGGTCAAATTAGAGTTATACTCTATTAAAAAAATCCCAGTCTGATATCAGGTTTTGGCTCTGAGAAGTATCATAGAGAACTTTCTCAAAGCCTTCAATCTATCCATTGCATCACTGCTGGTACTGAGTTAGCTGCGGCCAGTCAAAGCTCAACCTTGTACTAACGATTCTCGAGCAAACTGAGTATGCATCAAAAAGCTCCTTGATCCAATCCAGAGCATGACTACCATTAATTCAGAAGAGTAAATACACCACCAACTGTATCTTGTATCTGGGATCCAAAATTGCGGCTACTGCCAATGCCAACCCTGCACTGGCTCCGATAATTAGCAAGCTTAACTTTCATCTTTAACGCCATAGAACTAAGGAAGTCATTTGGGCTCTTGCACCATTCAACATAGATGCGAACACCACAAATCTCAGGAAAATATATACTTGCAATTGGACATTTGTTGCCTAAAAAAGACATCAGTGATTTCAACAAGAAGTTTCAAATAACCCGAAACAAAACTCGTCCATTCCCATTCTGTGTCGATTGATAATGGTGTGTACAGGAAGGGCCATGCTCTTGCAGGGCAGAAAATGCAGCTCTGTATTTTGAGGCTGTTTCAAGTATAAGATATGTTGTTTTCCACTAAACTGGAAGTGAAGGGAAGTCGTTGGTTCTTATTAGTAAGAAATAGCATTTGGTTGGTCAAGTAAAACAAGACTCTCTACAAAAGAATCCATGAATTGGTACCTTGCATCCATCAGTTACAAACTTTTTAACTTGTTTGGTCTTAGGGTTCACCGATACCAGCTCTCAATCACACATTCTGAACACTACTTCACCACTCTTTCTAAAACCAAATGGCATGATTGAAGTTGCTTCCAGGCATAATATATATTTAGCAATTTAGTCCACGATTCAGCCACGCCAAACTCTTCCATGGCCCACATGTGAATACGATATGAACATATATACAACATATATGCACACTTCCCTTCTGCAGTCTAAAAGCATATGCAACATATATACACACTCGATGGGAATTTGCAATTGGCTGTTGGGCATGGAGTTCTAGCGGTAAAAAATTATTGATGTCCATACATTCAGTTTTGCAAATGTTCATGACATTCAAAATTATGGGGTGTTTTCAATTTAGATTTTAAAAGATTTTAAAGAAGTTTAAAAGTTCAGGTGTATTCAATCACAATTTTATAGAAGTCTATACAATTTTGGGTGTATTCAATTCAGACTTTTTAAACTCCATTTAAATTTTGATGTATTTAATCACGACTTTAAAAGACTTTATAAAAGTGTTATGCCTATTGGATTTCCCCCAAAAAAGAACCATATCCTTCCCAACTCCTAACCCTATACCTCTACACACCCAAACCACCACCATCCACACCCAAAACTCATCGTGAACAATTGTAGTTTGTAATGTGGTTTTTTCTATTAATTATGAAGTATTATATTAATATTTAATTTTTATGAGTCTATTTTGTATTTTTGTTGTTGTTGAGAAATTAGTTAAAATAGCCATTCTTCACAACTTTTGTTCTATAATAGCCATCCTTGCATTACAGGTAGTGGCGGAGCCAAGAATTGATGTTAGAGGGGGCCCTCTTGCAGAATATAAAAATGAAGGGAATGAGAGCATAAACATTGCAAGTTCTCGTAAACCCTGGACCAATATCCTCTAGATTAAAAATCAAGAATAAACTTTTAAATTATAGATTTTACATATCAAGTTTTGATTGTAGTATATATAAAACCCTTGTATACTCTTTTAATATTCAATTCAATTCATACACAACATTAAATTATTTGCATAGAGAGAGAAATAGAGAAAGAAAAGGAGAGTGGCGGGGAAGAAGAAAAAAGAGAGAGAGAGAGAGAGAGAGAGAGAGAGAGAGAGAGAGAGAGAGAGAGTAGTTGAGAAGGGGCTTGTGACCCCTCTAGTCCCTACGTGGCTTCGCCATTAATTACAGGGGCGCTATGGGGACAACATATAGGGAATTACGGGGACACTATGGAGGACAATGACTATTTTGGAACAAAAGTTGTGAAAAATGGCTATTTTAGCACATAGCCCAATTTTTTTTACCTTTTACACATATCCTCCCGGAAGGAAATTTCCTATTATCGTGACTATTGATTATTGTAAGTTTTTCTTTTCCACACAGAAAAAAAGGAAAAAAAAGAAAATAGAATTCGTCTATGAATTTAGACTTCCTATCTCCCCTAATGTAAACAATCAATTGATGGTTCTCAGTTAAGACAACCAACTCTGATTGTTTGGATAGCAAAACCAAACGCTTGAGCACAACACCTTTGTTTACGCCAGAGCAATTTCAGTCCAAAAACTACCTTTATGGAACAGAAAGCAATTCTTTCGTTTTAAAAATTTCCACCTTCATGCCGTGGCATGTGGTTAGTAAAACCATGAGATGGCACAGCAGCCCACATTGCTAAATTCAACTTCCATTCAATCCGAAACTTGAAAAACATCTTAAAAATAAAGTGTCACACAACTGAAAGAGAAAAATCTGAATGACGAAAAAGGTCCCTGATAACAATTACAACTAGGAGTTGAGGAATTTAAACAAAAACAAAAAATGCTTGATAAGCAACATAAATACCCAACAGAGCCTGATGTATCATCACCCAAATAACACTCATTTCAAAAGGTAGGTTATCCAATCTGAGCGCTCTTCAAGAGACATACTAAAAAATACATCCCTTCTTGTTTTAGTATTAAGCAATGCAACTGCTTTAAAACGAGCACGTTCATCCAGATTTGGGGTCTCCTTGATAGCATCCCAGATACAACTTTGGTTCTCTCTCTTTTTCTCCCTTTTCTCCAATAGGTTACAGATTCTCTGAAAGTTGATAGCAATTGAATCAATGCTAAGAGAAAGTTTTTCCAGTATTCCAGCTTGATTGGTGGTCTCAAATGAGCTAGTATTCCCTTCATACTCAGTTCTAGTTCGTTTCTTCTGGTTGATGCTTTCTGAGGGAACTTTCGGACTAGTGGCATGAAAGTGCAAGGGTGATGAAGATTGGCCAAGTGATGGATCTTGGTGTGATGGTTCCTTTTCATTTGGTAAAAAAGCCTTATTACCATCATCATAAACAAACTCCTCTTTTCCAACATGTCTATCTTCGACCCAATCAATTCTTGCATCAATATCATCACCCAATTCTAACGAGTTTCTCTCAATAGCAATTCCACTCCCAAATACAATTTGCAATTCCTCATAGTCCTCACAAGTTTCTACGCGAAGACCTATGTGGCTCGGATAGGACTATAAAAGAAACAAGAAAATAATAATTGTTTAAGAAAGGAAGTAATATGTACTCAAATTACAAAATATAATATATTTAAAGAAGAATTAAGAAGCGCACCTTAAAGTAATCTTCCCAAAGTTTTTCATCACCCGTGAATTTCTTTCTGATTGGGTCCCACTTAAATCCAGAGCTATGATGGACAAGTTGGGTATACTTTTGATATTTTTTCTTAAAGTATTTCAACCGACTCTGGTAATGAGAATAACTTTTTTGACACTTAAGTTTTTCATTAATTTTTGGAAGTATTTTAGCTTCTACAGTTGCCTTGTTTAGCACGCCATTAGGATTCCGCCATCCACAAGACACAGCATCGACCATGAGTTGTAACAACATCTTGCTCTCTTCCATATTCCAACTGTTATAATCATTCTTGGCCTTCCCTTTTCCATTTACTTGCAATTGTCGTGCATCTCCCATTTGTAATGTAACTATATATGCAAATTATTATTAGATATCTAATTTTTAGTTTCTTATTGATCTAATATAATACAAAACCACACAACTTCTCTGACTGACAATATTATGCATAAAATCAACTCATAATACAAGAAAGTAAAAGACCAAATGATATGTATTTCTCATAGAAAAAAAAAGGACCAAATGATTAATAATGCAAGAGCAAAAGGACCATGCATATAACAAAACAGGCCAAAATATGCAAACATACATAAGCTTACAGAAGCTGCAATATAATAGGGCTGAAAAAAATTAGATCAGATAAGCTTACAGAAGCTGCAATATAATTGACTAAACACACTGTTTAAGCCACCACGCTATCCTTATCTTTCCAATAAAATGTTATTTTCTTCTTTTTGTGCGTTTCATGTGAATTTAGGATGATTATAAGTGTACTAAAAAAACAATCCAAGCCTATAATCAAGGAAACAACAAATCACATATGCTATAAACTACTATATATATGAAAATACCAAAACTAAAACAAGAAAAGGCGCATACGTAAACCCTAACCCTAACCGAAACCCTAATAACAAGTAGTAAAACCCAACCAGATTATCATAAATGAACAAGAAAATAACGGGAAAGAAAAACTAGCAGTGTACAAATTGATTTGAAGAGAGGAAAAAAATGAGTGTACCTTGAGAGAGATGGAGGAATGCTCGTAATTTGCAGAGAGAAGATAGATCGTCGAAGCTTCGAATGAAATATTGGGGGACGGCTGTTATGACCTTAGGTATTTATACCTCTCTCTCACCCTCAAATCCACAACCCTAGAAATCCTTCAAAATCTATGTCTCTTTGAATACACCTAAACTTTTGTGTATTTTTCTTCACCTAATTAATACCAAGAAAAAAGAAAGAAAGAGTAATTACTGCAATAAGAATAAGATCACTATGCCAAGTACAGAATCAGATGACATTGAAGACAAAGTAAAAATTCAGGTATAAATTAGCACATGCCTTGTAATTCCACCCGCAACCATTAACAAAAGCTTGGCTGTAGCTGTATGATATCTAAAGACCTAAAGGCCAAAAGTTCGCAGGAACGACAGCAGAACTAAAAGGAGCTCCTGACCAAACCTCAAGCTCGCATGGGGTTTGGCTTAACCCTAGCCCTAGGCAGAAACGCAAACTTTCCAGCACAAGGGTTCCGAATAATTGTGGCAGAATGAGCCCATTACGAGTTCCAAAGCGACCGAAATGGAAATATGTTGGATTAATGTTGAATGAATGAATGTAGGTTAAATTGTGGTAATGGTCCTTGAATTATACCTCAATTTGTATTTTCGTCCTTGAATTTTCAATAATAGTTGTTGTGTTGAGCTTTTGGTCCTTTTCGTCAATTTTGCAAACTTTTATGTTAAATATTGGGGTACATTAACCCATGATAAAATTTAAAAATATATATTAAAAACTAAAAAATGGGAAGCAAAAATAGAAGAAGATAGAGATCAGGTAATGAGTCGCTCAATAGCGAGGTTGAGAAGAAGGGGTGGGTGTTGCTGGGGGATGGGAGGGATGTCGGGGGTGGGGATTTTCGGGGGAGGAGGTAGAGGTGAAGGGAGCAGCACATGTTTTTTTTTCCTTCTTTATTTTATTTATTTATTTTAAGATGGGTAATGAAATTCCTAATCTGCCTTTGGATTTGACAGAAAATTAACACTTTTGACGAAAATTATGAATAGTACAATGCGGGTTCAAATTTAAGGATCACAACAACTATTTTGACATTCAATGACAAAAATACAAATCGGGGAATAATTTAAGGACCATTGCTACAATGCTACAATTTATTTATTTATTTTGATAAAACAATGCTACAATTTAAGCTCGGTATACAAACCTAATTCAGGTTGTCCTAATGCAAGGAGAAAAGCTTACCCCTTAAGTGTCCTCTCTCTCAGATAAAAGCGTGTGGTTGGAGAGGCTGTGCGTCTGAGGTGGTTGTGAATGAAGGTTGAGCTTTTGATCAGAGACCTCCATATGATTTGCACACAGCATTGTATTTGATTAGAAATTTGATGGGCAGCCCCAGGAGGATTTCGTGTAGATACTTTCTCTTAAGCTTGTGGTGAAATACTTTGCTTTAAATCTCTAAATGTAAGAAGTTGGGGATTTGGGGGTTATTATATATGAGAAAGTACATGGTGTGGTATATGAGTTAATGTTAAGACTTAAGACAAAGAAATCGAATGTTGTTGCTTGCATCCCTTTGAACACACTTTGGGTTGGGGCAACAACTGCGCTAATAATCTGTGGTGTCCTGCCCTGGTCATCTAAACCCACTTCACATTTTGTGTCATTCTTACAAAAGCCTGCAAGCAAGTAAAACCAGAACTCTGGATCGACCTATACATGCAACAAAAACCAGTTCTTTAAATATTTGATATTCATCCCGTCATGCCGGCCAAAAGAGTGGAACAAACGGCATGTGGTTGGTAAGAAACCAGAGATGGATAGCAGCACACATTCTTAAACTCAGCTTCTATTCAATCTAAAACTTGATGAATCATCTTACAAAGAAAGTGTCACACGCTGGCAAATCGAAGAGACATCTTTCAATGACAAAAGAGGTCCTTCTAATTTAAGTACAAATCTGGGAATCTAGTTGATGCCCTAAAATTTACATTTAAGCTTGACAAAGAACTATAAGCAATTAACAGGTCTCATGTGATGTATTGACATGGAGAAAGAGATTAGGTTCACTGCCCAGACCAGCTTTAAGCGTGTCAACGGCGATTGGACACCACCGGGATAGAGGCCAATATCTGATCCATCAACCTTCCATGACAAGATTACACCAAAGTTGGTAATCCGACACATAATTAGTTAAATATAAATAGAGAAACACAAAGAACGTAGCACATGCATACCTTTGGAAAATTAACTTGATTCAATAAGTAGTGGTCTAGCAGCAGAATGGCTTGAGAATGGATTGACATCTGATACAAAAAGAGAGAAGAAAATCTTGCAATAAGATTGCTGCTAAGTACAGCTCATATCAAAGACAAAGTAAAATTCAAGTAGAATGCACATGCCTTTTAATTCCACCTGCAACCAATCTTGTGTGCATACCAAAGCCTGCCGAATATCAGGATTCAGTGAGCTTCGACATTGATCAAGAACTCTACCACCAATGCTGAATGCTGATTCTGGTGCAACAGTTGACATAGGAGTTCCCAGAACATCACGTGCCATCATCGACAAGATAGGGTACCTTGGTGTGTGGACCTTCCACCAATTTAATATGTTAAAATCACAATTACGAGGAAAGACTGGTTCCTCTAAATATTTGTCCAAGTCCGATATCACATTCTGGCTCTGAGAAGTCTCATAGAGAAATTTATCAAATCCCTTCAATCGATCCCTAGTATCACTGCTGGTACTAGGTAAGCTGCTGCCAGGCAAAGCCGAACCTTGATCAACCATTGTTGAGCAAATTGAATATGCGTCAAAAAGCTCCTTGATGCCATCAGAAACTTCTTTAATCCTATCGAGAGCAGTACTACCATATATTTGAGAATAGTAATACTCCACCAACTTCATTTTGAATCGGGGATCCAAGATTGCTGCAACTGCCAAAGCCAAACTGCACTTACTCCAATATTTATCAAACTTAGCTTTCATCTTCAATGCCATACAACTAAGAAAGTCGTCTGGGCTCTTGCACCATTCAATTAATTGGATGTGAACATGACAAATCTCAGGAAAATATATACTTGCAGTTGGAGATTGGTTGCCTGAAAAGACATTAGTGATTTCAACAAGAAGTTTCAAATAACCTGTAACAAAACTCGTCCATTCCCATTCTGTATCGGTTAAAGATGAAGCGTAGGAAGGGTCATGCTCTTGCAGGAGAGAAAATGCACCCCTGTATTCTAAGGCTGTTTCAAGCATAATGTATGTTGAGTTCCACCGAACTGGGAAATCAAGAGTTAATCTCCTCTCACTATTGATTCCAACTTGCTGGGCAATTTCGTTGAACTTCCCTTGTACCACTTGTGAACTTCTTACGTGTTTGAAACTTCCTCGAATCTTTTGTATCACCTCTCTCAGTGCTTCCAACACATCCTGCACAATTGAATTTAGAAGATGTGCAGCAGAGCGGATATCAAATAACTGACCATGACCCGCGAGAGGCCTACTTTGGGAGATCCGGTCTTTAATTCTCAGAACAATGTCATCATCGGTGGAACAATCATCCAATGTGAAGGCAAACAACTTACTGTGAATATCCCAGTCCATCAGACATTTGCCAATTACTTCTGAAAGCGAGTCCTCAGTATGAGTAGGATCAAGTGTGACGAAGTTCAAAACTTTCTTTTGTAGCTTCCAGTCCTCGTCTATATAATGTGCAGTCAAACATAGATACTCAACATTTTCTGGAGAAGACCACATTTCAACAGAAAGGTTAATTCTTCCCTGCAAACTATTAATCGCTTGATACACTTGACGTTTTTCTTTCCTATAAATTTCCATACAAAAATGCTCAACGTCATTATTTGGCACAACCTCAAACAACGGCTGAAGGTTCTTAACAAAAACTTTGAATCCAACATGATCAACCATGGTCAACGGGTAACCATGCAATATAATCATACGGGCAAGATCAAGATGACTACGGTCATTATCAAACTTGCCACTTGCAATGGTAACGATATCATCCTTTTTCAGATCCTGATCAAACTTTATGAGTGATGGCTTCATATATTCATCTTTTCTCTGTGCTTCATCACAATTAATATTGGCAAGGCCAACGGTATTGTCTTTTTTCCTTCTCTTTGCTGCAAGTAGTTGAGAAACATCAAAGTTGGATCGTTTTAGACATCGCATTAAATGGTTTCTCAGATGTGTGGTCCCACTATTACTTGATCCACTGAGCTTCTTGTTACAATGCACACAAACAGCATAACATATATCAGCCTTTCTAACCCTTTCAAAATGATTCCAGACAATAGATGTCAACCTCTTTGGTTTCTTGATAGCTGACTCAATGGGTATTTCCATCACATTGGCATGAAATCAACCAAAGTCTGCACCTCATATAAGATATAACGACTAAATCAGATAAAACTACAAGATGAATCTGCAGAACCTCAAACATCAATAACTAATAATGTTTATAAAGTCACACAAAAAAACAAAACAAAAAACTTAAATTGCTCCAAAAAATCTACTACAGGGACATCATTATGGCACTGAGCACACAGATCCTTACTTCAACAAATAATAGCATATTATTAAGGTCCTATGCCATGGTGTACAACAACAACAAAAAAATGAATGAAAAAATGAATGTTTGTGCACATTTACTTGCATAAATACATAAACATCCCATACTAATAGAGATATTACAACTCAACTGAATCAGGAGATACATACAAAAACAACCACAATGATAGAATCTTGGTGCAAGTAAACCCTTGGAACACAAACTCTACAAGAAGTCAAAATATTCTCGGACAAAAGCCTTGGTAAGCTTACATCCTTGGAAATCAGCGAACAATAAATCAATTATAACACACACACACACACACACGGACACCTGTGTGCATATAGACACTGAATCACTACAGGGAGAAAACACTGCATTATTTTGCATTTAAAGTGACAGAGACATTTATCAGGCAGAAGATCAGAATATTAAAGTGGTACGTGTACTCTGATTTCACTAATGGGATCTTTATACATAACCGAGCATTTTTTCTTCATTGCACAATACAAAAAATTGAATCAATTTTGCCCCACAGATTTCAAAAGTCCTGGAAGCATATCTATAACACAACCCACATTATACCAAAAAGACAACATTAAAACCAGTGAATAAAACAGAAAAAGTACATTAAATCTGACAATAGATACTAATTATGTGAAACAAACCATGAAACCTCACAACTTGAATATTGATTCCATCAGAAAATCTTCCGACACAAAATTCCGTTGAATAGGAAGCCATAGAAGGTAAACATATAACTGATATGTACTTAATGAGGTTTGACAACACAATAAATTCCATTACCCATTTGTTGGGTTAAATTGGCTCATACCACAATTTAAGTGATAAAATCAGTGTCAAATCCTGCTCCTCTATATCATACAAAATCACGAGGCAACCACAACCTCATCACTTAGAAATTCATCAGCACCTAAAAACCAACGTCGAGAAATCAAATTTCGAAGAAATGACAACCAAAATCTCAAATTTCACTCTAAAGTTTCAACATTTCAGCTTCAATTTCCTAAGCAACAGAACAAGCATATATGCATCAAATTGTGCGATCTGGGTAACACCAAAATCAACCAAAGAAACTCCCACAAACATTAGAAATTGCAATTAAAATCTGAACCTAACAGAGTGAGAGGGCAAAAAAAGTAACATTTTCACAGAAATGTTCGAAATTGGTCTTACAGAGTAATTGTTGTAATGACTTTGTATCTTCAAAGAATTTCAGGAAATCCGATCGGTGCTCCGGCAAATTGGGGTTGGATTGTGAGAGACCCTGAAGAGAGAGGGAGAGAGTCTGAACCCGATGTGGCTACGAGAGAATATGGGTTGGGTCCGATAAGAGTATACCCGGATTGATTTGTGGGTCAACGCATTAGGATATTATTGTAGCTCAACCGAAAACCAATTGAGGAAAGGTCCGGACCCGAGCTTGGATCCGTTTTGGTTATGGGCATTTGGGTTTGGGCCTGAAGTTGATTGATAAGTTTTTTCTTTTTCTTTTTGAGAACGGTTGAGTTTGAGTTTTCTCCTACCTAGGTTATTAATTTATATTTTACACCCTTATAATTTGGCCAAAATTGCATCTTGATTCAGAAACTTCAGAGTGTTGCAATGTCGAATCTTAAATGTTTAACAAACAATTTACACTAAAGTTTGTCAACATCATGTTGTTTAGCGATATCATTCTCCATTTTGTCGAAGGAGTACAAGCCTTTTGTTTTTGTTATCTCAACGAAAAAATTGACATGAAAGAAGCAATTTATATATCTAAACGTCTACTGCCTCTTACAAATCAAAATATTTTACGACCTTTCAAACTATGTGATATTTGTTGGACTAATTTTTACGCTTATATGAACACTATTTCTTTCATTTTATCTTGTTCTATAAGCTCAATTCTTAATTTTGTTCACACACATTCAGATAAGTTACTAGTTATTATTAACATTTCAACATGTTGTATACTCTTTTTCATCCCAAACGTTACTTTCCCAACTTACAAACTTGTAAGAGCCCAAGAGTATGTCATGTAAGTTGGAAAATAAAAGTTATACTTGCATAAACACAATCCATTATTTTATTTTATTTTGCCAAAAGTTGGAAGATACTATCCAACAAAAATTGAGTATGGTTAAAAATAAAAGGTTATTTACTCAAATGGTCCTCAAACTAAAACCCGGTTTGCATTTTGATTCCTCAACGAAATTATTTGTTTAAATGGACCACAAACTCTTTATTAATCGATGAATCTGGAGAAATTTAATTAAGACACCCAAACGAAAATAAATAATTTATTTTTTCAACGTCCATTAAACTTCAAGTATTTACTATTTATTAAGTCATTTGTGAAATTAGTAACATATTTAAATATTCACTAAAGAAATAATAATTAAAACATAATTACTAATTAAAGTAATTCAAAAAGGCTAAGATATTACTTAATTACATATATTAAATTAAAGAAGTTGGCAAAAAAAACAAAAGTAAAGAAACTAATTTTATATTTTCAAAATAAAACAAACAAAAAAAAACACCTCTGCCGACGAAAATCCAGATTAGCCGCGTATAGCCGGGCGGCTATACTATACATATAAAAGCACCCGCCCCAGCCTATGCGCCACGTGCCAAACATGTACCGCCGAGCGCCTATACGATTCTTAAAAAAATGGAAAAAGAGTATAGCCGTTCGGCTATACTATATAATAAAAGGACCCACCCACCTAGGCGCCACGTGTCAATGCGTACGGCCGTGCGGCTATACCCTTTTTATAAAAACTTTAAAAACTGGGTTTAGCCATATAAAAAGGAACCGCCCAAGATAGACGCCACGTGTCAAAAAGTTGCGGCTACACTATTTTGATAAAAAATATTTTTAAAAAGGTATAGCCGCACGGCTAGACTATATCAAACACAGTCAAGCCGAACGGTTATACTATTCGTAAAAGAAATTAGTAAAAAGAGTATAGCTTTACGGCTGTACTATTTATATTTATATATATATATTAGTAAAACTGAGTATACCCGCTCTGTTATACTATTTATAGATATAAAGGAAAAAAAGGACCCGCCTGGGACCCACGTGTCAAACAAGTAAAGCCGATCGGATATACTATTTTAAAATTTAAATAAAAGGTAAAAATTCGTGTATAGCCGCGGGCCGATACTATATGCAAGTCTAGGCCGAGCTTTGGCTGGATGGACAATCGTCAAACCTTTCACAGAGAGAGAATAATGTCGAGGAGGAGATTGTTGATGCTGTTTAAAACCGATCGACATTTACTCAGATTCTCAATCAGACGGTCCATCTCGCATCACCAACCCTCACTCTCAGGTAATATGACGCCCAGCTTCTGCTTCATATTTGAACTGTTTCCTCTATAAGGGTTTAGTTAGATTATTCACTTGCATATATTCAGCTTAGCATTCCAAGTGTTTGCTAAAATGCCAAAGTTGATTTCAGTTTGAACACTTTGTCGGTCTGCTTTATTTTGTATGATCTAATTTAGCTTTGTAAATGAGAATTGGGAAATGATGAGAAATGAGAAAAGCTTAGTTCTTTATAATAAAACTAATTTCAATGAATGCAACAACTCCATAATGAGGGTGAAAATGAAATTAGAAGTGAGAACAGTGAAGAGATTTGTACGTTGTGCCAATTTGTAAGATTTTTTAGAGTTGGTGAAATTTTGTCTTTTTAGTTCTTTTTCTTTGTTATATTGACTTTTTGAATAATAGTTTCATGTATGAGTATGCCATGCTTCAAGATGCCAAATATGGTCAAGTTTTCATGTGTTTAGGCTTGCACAAAACTCAAGTATTTCTTCCTAGGATTCATGTTATTTGGATATTAGCCTCTCACCCTGTGCTTTGCATGCTTGAGGCCTTTTCAACAGAACCGAAATTTGAGAAAACTGTTGGAATCAGTGGAGTGGGGAATAATTTTAAAACTAAACGGTGTGTGAACGTTTGATTTCACTAGTTTAACCATGTAAATAAGAATGCCATACCTGGAAAAGATAAATAGGTAGATTTTGAAGTATTTAAATGTTCCACCAGAAATGTTGGCATCAAGGTCAGATTACAATATTTGTTCAATAGCTTATCTCTTGGTTGTGGAAAATTTGGCCAGGAATTACAGTTAGAACTTGGACTTATTCTCCAAACTCTTTTCTTCTATTACACCCTCTTGTTAACAAATTCTCCCACCCTCTACTCTTGAGTCAGTTTTAAACCCTTGTAATTCAGTTTCTTTTGAAGGAATTGCAGATGTTACATCATTTGGAAAATAGGCTAAAGGTGCACAATGATGCAATAAATTTTTGTCAGAATATTTTGTGCCGCAAACCTGTTGAGTGGAAATCTGTAGTCCTTAACAATCTATCACAGCCCATCCATGATGTGGATCTTGTAGTTACAGTTGGTGGCGATGGCACTCTATTACAGGCTAGCCATTTCATTGATGACTCAGTTCCAGTTCTAGGAGTGAATTCTGACCCCACACAGGCTGAAGAGGTTAGTTTCTTCTTTGGCTAAGCCATAGAGTGTTAGCCTTTATATTACCATATTAGTTTCCTGAGTTTTGCTTAATCATTGCTTGTAATGAATTCATCTTTTATTCTTTTTCCTGCTTTTGGGGCAGAGACTCGTATATATCAGAGCAGCTTATTTTCCATATTTTATTTGGTTAGGTGGAGAAGCTCAGCAATGAGATCGATGCTACTAGAAGCACAGGCTATCTTTGCGCTGTAACTGTCAATAACTTTGAACAGGTAAGACCACAGCATGAATTTGATGCAAAAGGAAAGCAGAATTGAGGCCAGTCAGAGTGTGGTTGCTCTATCCTAGGGTGTCTTTAGAACTAGTCATAAGGAAAGTACTCAATTGATATTTATTTGCTTGCCAAAGCCTTCCTGATTAGGTGTTATAAGGCATCTATCTGGTGCATAAAATGACTTTTCTAAAATGGGGTTTGATTAGTGGGGAATCTGTGTAGCCAAGCCCAATCACTTAGGAGTAAGGCTAAGTGATTTTTTATTTCCAACTCTGTGTGGTTATTCTGCATAACTTCAATATGATACCATTTATCTGTTTTAGAGTTAGGAAGTGAATGATTTGTGGCAAAATCAGTGTTTTTGAGTCTGAAGCAGGACTTCCTTTTTTAGGTTGCAAGTTTTAGAATTGATCTTTTGAAAATTTGCTCTTTTTTGTTTTTCTTCATAGGTACTGGACAACATCCTCGAGGGTCGAACAATTCCTTCAAAATTGACAAGGATATCGATATGTGTGAACTCACAAGTGCTTTCAACTTATGCTCTTAATGATGTTTTGATCGCACATCCATGTCCAGCAGCAGTTTCACAGTTCTCATTCAAGTAAATCCTTATGTTCAGTTAGCATGTATCTACATTTTCCTATATTTGTTTGAATTCCTGAACTTCCCTCCCCACCTAAAAACAAAATAAACTTATAGACAGAGCTCCTTGTCTGCAGAATTAAAAGTTATGACCAGCCATGTCCCCCCTTGGTGAACTCTCGATCATGTGGTCTCAGAGTGTCAACCGCTGCCGGATCAACAGCTGCAATGCTCTCAGCAGGCGGTTTTCCAATGCCCATCTTATCTGAGGATCTCCAGTTTATGGTAAGAGAGCCCATTTCACCAGGAGAGACCTCAAGCTTGATGCATGGATTAATCAAATCTCATCATGATCAGTCCATGGACGCAACATGGTTTTGTCGCCGAGTGCCCTTGACAATGTATTTTGTTCGTTTGGTCTGTTCGTGTGTTCTCTTTCTGTGGTGTTGCGGGTTCGAGGCTTGAGCTGGGAAGGTGGGGGGGGGATAACGAGATGGGGGGGAGTAAGGGGAGTGCTTGGGCAAAGTGGCTATCGGTCTTTGGGGTGGATTGGGTTGACGGGAGTGACCATTCGCGGAGCAATTGACGACAGGTGAAGTGGATACTCGGGGGGTATAGGAGTGTGGGTAATCACGCATTGTGGACAGGGCAAAAGAAAAAGGAACTAAGATGGGTCATATAGTGTGAAGTGGTAAGCGTGTTCAGATTGTGAGGTGTGGCTGTGAACGACGGGAGGGCGGCGGACAAATCGGGGGAGAGTGCGGAAGAGACCGGTGTGCAAATTTTGGGATGATTGTGGAAGAAACAAAGACAAACAAACAACGCGGAGGAAGCGAGAGGCAAAGAGAAGAAGGACAACAAAAAAAGGGGGCGGAAGGAACAAAAGAGGAGGCGAAGACGCCCAGAAGCAACAGCAGGGACAACGGAACCCCAGACAAGAGCAGGGGGGAAGGAGGGACACGGCGAGGGGGAGAACCCGGAAAGGGGGGACCATAAGAAGGTGGTAAGGAAGGACAACGTATTGCGGGGCACCGGGAATGTTGGATCCCATGCAAGTAAAACAAAAGCGCGATTGATGCATATGATTCGCGAAACTAATATAACCCTAACAATGCTCACTAACCCTTACAAATTACAATTGTTAGTGAGGGCCTTTTATGCAAAGTCTAGTCTGGCCGAAACCGCTTCACATAGACGGAGAGAGAGAGAGAGAGAGAGAGAGAGAGAGAGAGAGAGAAATGACGAGGAAGAGATTGTTGCTGCTGTTAAAACCGTTCGACGTTTACCCCAGTTTCCCAATCAGACGGTCTGGCTCGCATCACCAACCCTCAGGTACTATGACGCTTTTGCTTCTTTCTGATTCAGTGTCCGCTAGAACATGTATCTTATTGTGGACCCTCATATTTGAACTGCTTCCTCTAAAGCGTTGCTAGTTTTGATGATTCAATTGAAATATTCAGCTTAGCGTTCAAGTTGTTTGCTAAAATGCCCAAGTTGATGACTTTGGTTTGGATACTTATAGGTGGTGCGCTTGATTTTTAATTTCTTTGTACATGAGAAGTGGGAAATTAAAAGAAACAAAAAATAAATTAGCTTTTCTTTATGAAAATATTCAATGAATTGAAAAACTCGATAATGCGAGTGAAATGGAATTAGAAGTGAGAAAAGTAAAGAGATTTGGACGTTTTACCAATTTGAAGGATGTTTTAGTGATATTTTGTGGTGTTGAAAGAAAATCATGTATGAGTATGCCATGCTTCAAGATGGCTTGCACAAAAGCTCCGGTATTCGGCTACTAGTTTCTCATCCCACACTTCGCATGATTGAGGCTTTTACAAACAGAACTGAAGTTTGAGAAAACTGTTGGAATACAAAATGTTGATGTCACTAGTTTGATCCGGTAAACAAGAGAATGTTGTACCCAAAGAAGTTTTGACTCTATCATCGTATAGATAAATAAACTTAAGGACACAATCTCTCTTCCGTAGGTATGTCTTGTTTGTGGGAAGTTTGGAAAAAACAGTTAGACTTATTCTGTAAACTTGTTTCTTCAATTACATTTTCCCTTAAATGGAGCCTCGAGTGAAGAGCAGAGAGCCATGGGCTTGCTTCTTCTCATAGTGTTCCGGACATTGATTGCCTTGCTATTTCTGAGGGATGGTTTGGTTCCATCTCTTTGTGAATTTTGCAGAGGCATACAAGTAGCTCATCTCCTGTTGATTCATCATATTATGTTTTTGCCCTAAACCCTAACCGTATATCCTTTTGTTGAGTCAGTTTAAAACACCCTTATAATTCAGTTTCTTTTGATGGAATTGCAGATATTACATTACTTGGACAACAGACGAAAGGTGCACAAGGATGCAATAAACATTTGTCAGAACATATTGCACCACAAGCCTGTTGAGTGGAAATCCATAGTACGCAACAATCTATCACAGCCCATCCGTGATGTGGACCTTGTTGTTACAGTTGGTGGTGATGGCACTCTGTTACAAGGTAGCCATTTCATTGATGACTCGGTTCCAGTTCTAGGAGTGAATTCTGACCCCACACAACCTGAAGAGGTTAGTTTAGCTAAGCCATAGAGTGTTAGCCTTTATGTCATCATATTAGTTCACTTCACCGAGTTTCACTTAATTGCTCGTAATCAATTCATCGTTTTTTAATTTTTTCCTGCTTTTGAGGCAGATACTCATATAAATCGTTGCATCTTATCTACTGTATTTTACTTCGTTAGGTTGAGAAGCTCAGTAATGAAATTGATGCTAATAGAAGCACAGGCTATCTTTGCGGTGCAACTGTCAACAACTTTGAACAGGTAAAACTCTGCCAATGAATTCAGTTGATTGGAGACAAGTCATTTTGGTTCCTCATTTTGAGGGTGTATTTAAAACTAGTTAGTACTTGAAGGAAAGGAAACATCTAATGTTCACAAAAGAGTTAGGCATTCATCTTTCTATGTCATGCTCAAACTTTTAGTTACGAGGAATATTTCCATCAAAATGATCCCTAGTACTACTTCTCTCCAGTAACTACCTTCTTTAAAGGAGAGTAAGAGTTCTCAAAGGAAATCTATTTGCGGGCAGAATCCGTCCTCCTCTGGTGTTAAAGGCATCTCTTTTGTTCTTTTTAGGTACTGGACAGTATCCTCAGGGATCGAGCTATTCCTTCCAAATTGACAAGGATATCCGTATCCGTAAACTCACAACCGCTTTCAACTTATGCTCTTAATGATATTTTAATTGCACATCCATGTCCAGCAGCACTTTCACGGTTCTCATTCAAGTAATGTTCTTTCATGATCTGATGGTCAGATAGCTGTATATTCAACTGGTTTCTTTAGTTAACATGCATCTAACTTTTATTCTTTAAATCCCTCAACTTCCCTCCCTACCTCAAAGCAAATTAAATTTATAGATTAGAGATCATTGTATGCAGAATTAAAGGGGACGACCAGCCATGCGCCCCCTTAGCGCACTCTCGATCAAGTGGTCTCAGAGTTTCAACAGCTGCTGGATCAACAGCTGCAATGCTCTCAGCAGGTGGGTTTCTGATGCCCATATTATCCCAGGATCTCCAGTATATGGTAAGAGAGCCCATCTCACCAGGAGCGGCCTCAAGCTTAATGCACGGGTTAATCAAATCTCATCAGTCCATGGAAGCTACATGGTTTGGTAAAAAGGGGATCATATATATTGATGGTTCTCATGTTTCCTATACTATAAAAAATGGGGATGCCATTGAGATATCTTCCAAGGCCCCAATTTTGAAGGTTTTCTTGCCTCACCATTTACAGAACATTAGTGAAGAAACGTGAGGAGGCATATTTAGATAAAAATAAATTAAACATTTTTGTAAATACGAGCTGTGCATACGTGCGGAACTTTTGTAAACATGAGTTCAGGTGTAAGATTTTGATTCTTTGATTTCCAGGAGAAATTTACTAAGTTCAACATAGCTATGTAGACATGGTGAATGTATACAAATGGAATTGTGTTGGTTTCCTCATCATTAATCACACAGCAGCTATATGATCTGTTAAGACTGCAATCCTATATTACGTTTTTTTGCCTCCCACCTACCAATTATTACCAATTAATGAAAATTTTCTGATCGTCATAAACTGCATAAGGGATTTCCAGTGGAGAAGAGGAGAAGGGGGAAGAGTGAGAGGTGAATCAGTTTCCAGCATGCAACCCATTGCCATTTAAACTATTAACAAAACACGTCCATCTCTGATGTGGGATACTCTCGACAGCTTCACCCAAAGCAAAGGGTCACCAAGAAGGCATGTTACGAGATTCTCTTTTTTTTTCTACAAAAAGAAATTACAGTCATAGTAAACATATCCAGCATGACCTTCAGCAAACAGTGAACTCTCGACTTCAAGCCTAGAACCTGAAAATCCAGGTCATGAAAATTCAGCAATGGATTATTGGCAGCAATGTAAATTTAGCAGAACCAAGATTGAAACTTACGTGAACATCTGGGGACGGTTACGAGAGAGCTGAGGCCTCTTTATTGGGGAGAGTATCAAGTTCCTTAAGGTCATTGAGGGGTTGCTAGCTCCAGTTCCAAACATAGGGTGAGCACCAGCCCTTCTGTTCACAGCATCAACTGGAATAGCAGCTTGTTTTGCCGGTGAGCCAACAGAGATGTCAAAAGGACCACCAGAGTTTGAACTATTCTGTCTTGCTGGCCATATATCCTCCTTTGGCCCTGGAGTTTCAGGAGTGAGAACCGGCCAATCTGCAAGAAATAAGTCAACTGGTTTTCGAAATATTTGAGCCAGCAAAAAAACATAATGCTATGAAGTTCTGTTCAGTTTCATGATAGCATCAAATGTCAAAACTTTGTAGTGTTATTTTTCAAAATTAGTATATGGATTTTCTGTACTCTTATACAATATTATTTCTAGTATGTCATGAAATACTATCCCGGTGTTGACAATTAGTCGATTGAACTGTAATTCTGCAACTTTAAAAGGATAAAAGTTACCTTTTCTAACAGCTTCTCTATTATCCAAGATGTTAGCTTGGTTTGAGAAAAGATCAGGCTCATTTCTTGAATAGAAATTGGTCGCAGGTTGAAGGGCGGATCGTTTAACTGACTCGTACTCACTCCTCAATTGATCATACATTTCATCTAGTTTTCTCTTCTGTCTGGTGGTATATGAAAAGTCAAGAAAATCAATATATTAGGGTCCCAACAATGCAAATATGCCTCAGGAAATAGTATCAGTAGGTGGGGAATGGACACAAGACCTGGATTTCTCTGCAAATTTTTCCTGGAGCTCCTGCTTATCTTTGGACAAGCTTTCAATCTCTTGTTCCATCATTTGACACCTCTTCGCCATTTTCTGGTATGCAGTATGCACCTGTTCCAATTTCTCAGTGAACTTTTCTTGCATTGCTTCACATTTCTGCCGGAATTGAGCTACTATTCTGTTCATCTTGAACTGCATTTCCAGTTCCTTTTGCCCAATGTAAAACATGATACTCCTGTGTGCACTCTTCATTACTAGGAACATTGTTAAGGAAAACATGTACAGACCATTGTCTCCGTTACAAAACAGTGAGAAAAATTGCTTACAATATACACCTTATTTGGTATGGTCACTCCCTCATAAAAAATGCACCAATGGCTATGTGCTATCCCATTTTATGCTGTTCTTTCCAGATAATGGAGCAGTTTTCAAGTATCAGATTATTAAATTGCAGAGCAAATGGAAAAGGATACATATCTGTGGAGACACTCCAGCCATGGCCATCTGAAACAGAATATGTTAGAACGTTAGCAAGAAATCAAGTTAAAGGATACAAAATGTAAGGAAAAGTAATAATACCGAGCAGGGGGGAAGATTCCATTGAATAAGGTAATATAAAGTTTGAAGACAAGCTAAGTCTATCCATTTAGGAATACTTGCTTACATTTACCCATTCATCGTTTGGATTGATATCCACAGGTTTCATAAGACTGCCAAGAATAGAGAACAATGAGATAGGCAGAATTAAATAAGACAACTGCTTTATGAAAGTAGGAAACAGGTTTGCCACATTGTTTCTATTAAAAACCCAAGTATTATTGGTGCCAGGAGCAATTACAGCTTTCTTTTTTTTGGGTAAGATAATAAAACTTGCCTTTTGGGTTCTATCAAAGAATTGCTTAAACTGGTTCTTACAGGAAAATAATTCTGCAGCAACCATTGATGCCAGAAACAGAATAAATTTTGTCTTCAGCATTCATTCCATATAGTCTATATATTTACACTCTCATATTACTTATTAACAAAGGAAAAACTACAACCTCTCATTTTATGTTCATGTATGCTAAGCAGACCTGCACATCTAAAAAAGGCCAAGGCTTAAAGAATACAAATTCCCAGAAAAATGCTAGATTGTCTAAGATCTTTACCAACTCTTACCTCTTAGAGAGCACTTGATCACAAATGGGACATGCTCCATCATTGCCAAGGATCTTGCTGGCATCCTCTGTGCCTTTTCACACTATTAAGGAAACTTTATAAATACAAATATCAACCCCAAATCAACCAACAAAAAAAAAAAAAAAAAAAAAAAAAAAAAAAAAAAAAAAAAAAAAAGTTACAGATATATCTAAAACTGTAGAGGGAAATTTTTCCTTTGCATAGGATACACAAAAGGTGGCCACAGGTGGTGGAAACAGCTCGCCCTTCTAGTTCTCGCCAACATGCATTGCATCTCATTTTAGCCTTCAAAGACAATCTCTAATGCAATGGCATGTCTGGGGCATATAAAACATGTTGATCAACAACGCTATCTCAAGGTTTCTCAACTGATTTATATGCCTGCTGTTATTGGTTTCAAATGAGAAACTAGACAGGCTTGTGGCCAAATAAACAAAGGAAGCGTAATATTTTTCCAATTTAGAGAGGATATAAGCATGAGGAGAAGTCATGCTTCAATGACATGGAAGTACAAAGAAACTACCATAACACAAATGATGTGTCATGAAGACAAATTAGCAAAAGAAGATCTAGTCTGTTCATAATGGACACAAAGGCATGATGGTTTTGAAATTCAGAGTAGTTGTTACAACTTACAAACGGGAATTCAAAATTAAAGCAATGAAAGAGAACCTGTCCCAAAAATGCAGTTAAGTTTTGAAGTCTTAAGTGACTAGAAAATTTCAAAAATATTGAAGAGCTAAGATGCTAATCTCATATTTTGATGATAATAGAGAAGCCTCATGAATTTCAGTCAAGTTGGATGATTGAGCTAACAAAACTGGTTGTGAACTCAGGTATCACAACTAATCAAAACTGGAGCGAAGAAAACTTCACCCTTAAGTTTTTCCACTTAAGTCATGCATTTAACAAATTACATCATGAGATATTTCAACAAGTATGAAGTTTACAGTTGAGTGGTGCACTCCATACTGCAAGACTTCGAAACAGCATAGAGATCTGTTATGTGCCTCATCTTGTGTACGTTAAAACACTCTTGGTATGTTAACTCAGGTAAGGGTAGGATGCTCCTCTATTTAAATCACTTACTCAAGTCTGTTTTTACCGACAACAGTTAGCACATCAAAAAATCATTCCATCAGGTTTTAATCTTATACATGTTTGGTAATTTATTCATCTCATGAAATACTAAACTACTTTAGGTCAGCAATGTCAAATGTGCCACAAATTCGAAGAATGAGAAGATTGACATGAGCTTCATATGCGACTATTAACATAAAAATTTAGCCATAGTTGTGTGTTTTTTTTTCACTTTCCACCAAAACTTTGAACCAATGTCTGAAGTAGAAGTAAAGAACTCACTGAGTATTTTATATATGAGAAATATGTTAAATCAATTATGTCCAAATTAACAAAATTTTCTTTTTAAATTACTCTCTTTTTGTTCATCATCTCCACGGTAAAAATATGCAGAGAAAGAAAATACCTTCATGCTCACTGACAATATAATTTCCGAAATAAAAAGCATAAAAATACCGAAGACTACCCATCAATAAGTACTTATTGCTTCGTATATGCAAATTCCTTTGACTATAACGTTTTCTCAGCGACCAAACAGAGAAAAGAGAGTTCTAAACTTGAAAATAGGATCGTACCTAAACGTTAACCAAAATTCTGCGCCAAAGCTTTGATTTAGTTGCTTGCGAAGAAAGCTCTCGAACTATCAAGATACAGATAGGCTAATTGCGATTTTGCGCTCGTACAACTTGGCCGTTTCACGGTGTAAGCTCCGATCAGTAAAATAAATTCCTGAAAACGCCAAGGAAAGTGAAAATTACAGATGATAGGAGGAGAAAATTGACGACGAAATCCAAATCATGGCATGGTAAAACTTACAGAGATTTATCGCAAAAGTTGAATTTTTCTTTGTTCTTTTGCCTCTTCCAATCGGAAAAATGAGGTTTCAGCTATACGGAGGGAACGCAGGGAGAGAACTGAAGAAAAGCCCTAGAGGTTTGAGAATGGATTTGGCGGGAAATATTATTGCTCTGGAAGATTGGTGTGTACGGCTTCTGATTCGAATCAGAAATGGCGGGGACAAGTCACGAGCTCTGGTTTGAGATTTTGTTTATGAGAACGAAACGTTTTTTGTGATTTTAAATTCCAAGAACCGTAGCGATATGATATTCGGGTCGGTTTTAATTGATATGAATGGTCCGACTCGAGCCCAAGCCTCTATAGCCCAACGTTTTCTATATTCACTTCTCAACTCACCCACCACCTAAACCTAATATTTCTAAAATCCCCCCGTTTGGTTCATGGGAATGAAGACTTGGGAATGAGAATTAAATTGCTTTCCCATATTTAGTAAGTCCAGGCATGAAAAATGGCTGCCTGACACATGGAAAAGTAGGGGAGAAAGTGAAGCTCTCCTCTTAACTTGGGTTTTGTTTTCCCTCATGGAAAAGTTTAGGAAAATGAGCCAACATTCAATGCACAATTTTCATGACTATTTTGTCCCTATGAACAATTTATAATTACAACATATCATTAAATGCATTCTTTTTTTATTTGATTTAATATGGGTATAATTGGAAAAGTATACAAACTTTGTTTTCCATTCCTACTCAAAACAAAGATGGGAAATGAAACAAAGTGAAATCTTTCGGTTACTTTCCCGACATTACCAAACGTGAGAAATGAATCTTTCATTCCCATTCCTTGGGAAATGACATGAGAAATTATTTCCCCTCAAATCCATTCCGTGAACCAAACGGGGCCTAAAAGCGTACATTTATTTTTAATTTGCTTTTAGGTATAGAGTGTGCCCACCATATGTGGGCCATGGGGTGTAGTGTAGTCCTCTACGTTCTTCACCTTATATGGGGTGGAGTTGGGGCTGCTACGGTAATCATCTCGTGTGAAATTGTCAACTTAAGATTATGTATTTATCATAACAAAACAGTGTTATTTCTGTTACGTGTAAGTTTTTTTACTTAGTTGAGTGGTATTTCTCTTCTCAACGTTGTAAGAGGTCCCAAAGTCTAGGTGTTGCCAATACTATACTGAGCTTCAAGACCATAGAGATCCCAATTTCTACAAGTACACAGCTAACAGAGGTCCAATTGGGCATGTACAAATTGACCTTCCATAACATGTAGCCCTGGCCTTCTTGAACATGTGGAGATCCCAAACGATCACAACCCTATTTGCTATTTGCTTTTTAATTGTAAAACTCACAATGGGAACTATATAAGGTTCTTCATAAAGGGCCTTGTTTTGTATAGGCTAGGCTGTCCTCTCCAAGGAATCTCATTCCTTACTTCATTGAAAAATCAAGAATAAGTACATATCTCGCATTACCTTTTAATTCATAACTGCACGTAAATAAGGATATAACTTGTGACGAAAATGATTCATTCAATCTATTTCTCCGTTTCAAGTTAGTAACATGTACAAGGGAGCCCACAAATATCACCAGAAGAAAGCAACAAGACACCCATCATGACTATCTTTCCTCAATGAGCACTCTTCTAGTTATCCTGTACATATCTTGTTGGTTTTCTTTATTAAAAAGCAAAATTGTAGCAATAGTCCCTCTCTACTTTACTTTTCATCTCTAAATCTCAAAAATTGTTATGATCATCCTTCAATTAGATATCGTGTTGCATCATTGGTTACTTCGTCAATTCTGTTAGATTTTCTGTCAAAATTAAGGACAAATTGGGAAATTCTTGTCAAATATTTATTAGATAAATAAACTATTTAAAGAAAAAAACCACTGCCACTACCCAAAAACAGCCACCTTATCCCCATCCCCACTTACCCAAATTTATCACCGCAACCACCCACCTCAACTCAACAGCTTCCACCTCTACGCTTTCCCTTGCATCACCAAGCTCAAGCTCAGCACCACCAGGCTCAAATCCATCAAAATGAGCAAACCCTCTTCCACCCCACCCACAGTCTACCCCAATCTCTCGGCCACGACACTCCTCAAATAAATAAATAAATATATATATATATCTCTCTCTCAGTTGCGTTACCGCATCCCCTATTGGTACAATTCTACATAAAATTGAATTTCTTGATTTTTTTATATTGAACGTCCCTATTTCATTCTTGAATTGTTGTTGATTGGCTTCGTTCTATTTGGACATTAGTGTTTAGTCCCCAGATAAAGAGGCTGGGTTACTGACGTAAGGGGAGGGGGTTGGTTTTTGGGGAGGGTCGTGCGACTGGGGTGAGAAGTGGTGAGGGTAGTAACTGGATAAAAGTCTTATTTGCCCTTCAAAAAAAAATATCATGTCACATGTGATCCATTTTTATGGAAAAACTAACAGAATTGACGGAAATGACGAGCGCTGCAACACGATATTTAATTAAAGGACCACCATAACAATTTTTGAGGTCGAGGGACAAAAAGTAAAGTAGGGCCGTGGGATGCTGGTTTCATTCGGTGCATCATTTTATGTAAATTACCGTAACAACTCTGCCTATGATCAATTCTGTTTGTACATTAAAATGTAATAAGACTAAAGCATTGCCAACCACACTAGAGCCTTAACCCTTCAATTTAGGACCACCTACCCTACAACAACTCATTTAGTTGAAGACTTGAACAAGAAAGGCATCCCATGCCTACCAAACAATACCATCCCTTGGGTGAGCCCTCTCATTAATTTTTGTACCCGAAATAAAACGCCCCAAGTTGCTCTAGTGTCCACTCTAAAAACATAGTGGCATATACATAGGCTTAGTTAAATTGGCTAAAGTAGATGTGTTTCCTATTCTGCATTCCAGTTCGAATCTTCTACTCATAAATTAAGATAAAGTAAAATATTATTTATATAAAAAATAAAATAAAAACAGGCGTGGATCCGAATCAATCAAAACCCGACCCGAATAGAGTGGTGCAAGCAATTGAGCTAAGATATTTGTTAAGGAGTGGAGTACTGTAATTTCAGTTGCAAAGCAACGGCGGCCTCCTACGCCACGACACTTGTTAGAAACCTCCACGTGTACAAATTGAAATGGCTTGCTGGCCTCAAAAATAACTCATTTCCTCCTCCGACTGTAGAGATAGAAGAAACCCAAGAAGAGATTTTTGAAGGGTTTAGAGAGAGAGAAAGAGATGAAGATACAGTGCAACGTGTGCGAGGCAGCTGAGGCCAACGTACTATGCTGTGCAGACGAGGCAGCTCTGTGCTGGGCTTGTGATGAGAAGGTTCACAAAGCAAACAAGCTCGCAAGCAAGCACCAGAGGGTTCCTCTGTCTGCATCTCACATGCCCAAATGCGATATCTGCCAGGTGCTTAAATCCCACATCAAAAAGTGCTTATTTTGTCATAAGAATATGAAAATCAACATGGGTTTTGTTTGAAATTTGTGTTCATGATTTGCAGGAGGCAATTGGGTATTTTTTCTGTTTAGAAGATCGAGCTTTGCTCTGTAGAACATGTGATGTTGCTATACACGCTGCTAATAGCTTGGTGTCAGCTCACCGGAGGTTTTTGCTCACCGGAATCAGAGTTGGCCCTGAGCCAACTGAGCCTGATTCTGGAGGTGATGGTGGTGGTGGTGGTGGTGGTGGTGTTGGTGTTGGTGCCTCTTCTTCTTCTGTCAAGTCACGTTCTGGGTCTGGGTCTGGGTCGAGATGCGATACGCACAATCCAATGCCCGTGGAGTGCAAGGTAGCACCGGCCGGTGTTGATGTGATGCCTTTTGCTGGTGGTTCTTCAGCTGGGACTGTTCCTCAGTGGCATATAGATGAGTTTCTGGGACTCTCTGATTTTGATCAGAGTTTTAGCTACATTGAAAATGGATCTTCCAAGGTGTGTGGCCATGGTGTCCAATGTTCAATTGTTATTAGAATTTATGATATGGTACTGCTGCTATATTCATATTACAAAATTGCGGCACCCATTTTTCTGTTTAACAAGAAATTTGGAAAGAAATTACTGCAAATTGGTCTCAAACTCTCAATAGTCAAGGATTGTGAAATTCATAAGATTGCACTTCATTTGCAAACAGGAATGTCTCATAGGCTTGTGCTCTGTGTCACACTGACCCATTTTTACCCCTGTTTTGTTGCAAACCCCTTATGCTTATTGAAGAACCGACTTGATGATGACCTACTCCTTGTCATATTTTTTTCTAGGCTTTATGGTTATCTCAGTGCATAATGGTGCTTCTATTTTGTGCTATTTCTATCAGGCTGACTGCGGTAAACTTGGGGAGTATGACTCACCAGCTTTAAAATCATCTGAGGAGGAACTGGAAGATTATGAGTGCATAGGTGAGGTGCCAGAGACCTCTTGGATGGTACCCCAGGTACCTTCCCCACCTACAGCCTCGGGACTCTACTGGCCTAGAAGTTCTCAGATTTCATCTGATTTTTCAGTGTTTGTTCCGGACATTTGCCACTCACAAATGCAAAACCCTCTTTATTCTCAACGTAACGGTACTGTCTCAAAATGTCGTAGGCAATTCTAGTTCTTGCTACAAAAGTTACCATATGTTGGATTTGTTTGACTGTGCTTATAATATCATTTTGTGTACCGTTCTTTCTTCTCTAGAGTAGAATAAGTGTAAGATTATGCTATGGTATCTGTTGAAAGTAGATTTGTCTTACTTACCACTTTCCATGTAGTGTCTGTAAACATCTTTTCACAAAATAAAAATAAATTAGTTGTATTTGGTTACTGCATCATATGGAGTTGATTTTTTCCCATTAAGATTTACAAGGTTCTCCTTTGTTCGATAGGAAAGTCTGAGTTGTTACCATGCTCATAAAATTCAATGAATTCAAGAACCCAGACCTAGTGGTTGGATGTTCAGATATTTATATACTGAGAACCTTGCAAAGTTGTCATAAATTCAATTACCTGGTGATAAATCTATAGTCATTTTTTCAGATGCTTAGAAATGTTGAAGCTATGGTCACTTACTGGCTCCTTGGTTGCTTCAATAGTTCTGAAATTTTTATGCTGGTTCAAATATCTCAGCTGGGCTGATGTGACATCTTAGACAATCTTAACAACTGATGACCTGTCCATGACTGTTTGCCTCCCATGTCTTGTGCATTGGGTTCTCTCTTTCACATGCAGTTTACAGAGGCTCACAAGGCTGATGCTAGCATTTTTTATATTTGATATGGTTAAGACTGTGATGCAGTATGATTGAACTAATATGTCTTTGGTTCTCATTGAGATGCATTGAGCATCACAAATAAAAGTTTATCCGTCTATATGTTTTGTTGGTCTCTTATGTCAAGGTATTATGATATGCTCTACTAGAAAGTTCTGTACTTGTTCACTTGTGCATGATATTCAAGTCCCAGCCCCATGCCTACCACAACTTTATGTTTCGAGTCATGGTATTGGCATTTCATGTTTTCTTTTTGTTTTTCACTAAGGGTTCAAATACGACGCAACCTTTTATGTTAGGAATGCTTCAAATCAAATGGTATCTGCAATTTGAATGATGAAAACATGTTGAATTTGCATAAAAATTGGACAACAGCATATGCTTAAATGTTTGAATTGTTGGACAACATTGCACATGGCAAGAGTCTTTAATGGTTGGCCTGCTAGCACGAGCCCAAAAACAGGAATGCAAGGGAGGAAATATCCATTATTAGGCTTCCTTCTAATCTTGTTGTTTAGAGATTCATGTTACCACTTCTTTGTTGGTCTGCAAGATGGATGGTGGTGTTGCGCCTTTATGTTTGTATGCCATATGTCTTTCTCCGTTTGCCCACCTCTCCACGTGCAGGCCCATCATGCATGTGAGGGGGGAGTAAAACGTAAAACTTGATATACATTGTTGGCTCATTCCTTGATAGTTGACGGACAACTTAAACTTTTGGAGCTAATGGTTGTCTAACAAGAGTAACCCCATTTTCTTCCTAAGAAGTTAGTAAGAGCAACCAGATTCTTATACATTTTGCTTTATATAGTAGTTGAATACAAGTTTCCGTTGTCTGTTGCACCTCATAATTGTGTACACGATCTGTATACGATGAATTTTCGTTTCATTCTAACAATGTCTTCAGAATGTTGCGTATTTGATTGTACTATTAGCTATTTTGTGACTTGTGAGCACCAGATTTCCATGCCCGTTCAAACAAACGTTCCATCTAGCTTTTTCAGGAGGGCAGATATGAAATGAATAATAAAAAATAAAAAAATAAAAAACTAGTGTCCACCAATGTATTTAATTTATTATATAAAAATATATATGTACAATAACAGATTTTGCATATAGAAATTTGTATGATTATCTTTCTCTTTTTCACCACTGTTCGTTGTTGCGACGGCCTCTCTTGGCTTCCTTGAGGATGAGTTCCAAGAGCCTCTCATACACTGCAATAGCAGATTCAAGCATATCAATGGCTCTGTTTCTATCATTTGCAGCCACTTTCAACACATCTTCCATTTCTAATATTTTCTTTATTGGCATATTCATAAGTTCTTTGCCAGAAGACCGAAAGTGGCAATTTCCAGATCCGTAAGCACCATTGCTCATTCCAAAACCATTCGCTTTGCTACAATTTATACCTGTAGCTGCCACCAGATCACTAATGCTCCCCATCTCATTTCCAAGCGCCATGATCACCTGACCCGCATCAACTTCCCAAACCCAAACACTCCCGTCTTCCGAAGCTGATATCAAATTCCTTCCCCCATTCACCATCACCACAGATACAACTGCCCCACTGTGCTTCGGAGTCCACGCGATCAATTCACTGCCTTGGGTCACAAGTTGCCTGGTTCCAACTTTCAGTGATCCCTTGTGTACTGAACCATCTGATCCTGCAACATAGAACTCAGGCTCTGTTGGGTTCAATGCAACCCATGAAATAGTGCATGGAAACACAATGGTACGCAGGAGCGTTCCACGCAAGAGACTCCAGAATTTACATGTGCAATCCAATGAGCATGAGATAATCTGGGAGTTGCATAATCCCGTACCAGAAACAATGGCAGTCACTGAATCAGAATGAGCAGCAAACCTATGCAATATCAATTCTTCCACATTGTCATATCCTGAGGCTCCTACAAGCTGAAAGATGGGGACAACAACAATGGTCCCATCATCGCTGCCTGAAATCAGAAGTGACTCATCATCACTGATTGCAAGGCAAGACACAGGCTTGCTATGTGCAGGCAATGGTTTGAGCACATCCCCTGATGGGATTGAAATTCCATGCACACTGCCTGATAGGCCACCGGCAAAGAGATACAACCCGTCAGACGTGGCCGTGAGGGGTGCAATGGGCTCCGGGACAGGGAGGTTATGGAAGGCAGTTGAAGACCACCAATTGTAAAGGTGGACTGAACCAGAAGCAGTGGTTGGTGATATGTGTGAGGCAGCAATATAACTCTTCCCAACAATTGCAAGGCCTCGGCGTGGTGACCGGCTGCCTGTGAATTGTGCTAGGGTGGCGCCTGAGGAAGCATCATAGGCAATAATGGGGCCGTCAGGAGAGCTGGTGAGGACAATTTCATGTGGAGAAGAAGACATGTTTTTGAGGTGGGCTAAGAGACAATGTAGAAGAGCATGGTATGCAAGGGCAAAGGGGTTTATGAGAGGTGGCAAAACGAGTAGGGCATGTTTAAAAGAGAGGAATTCCTGGTGGTTTTTGGGGCGTTCAAAACAAGGTGCTCATCATCACATTTTGGCTGCTTCTGTTTTGTTAAGAAGAGAAATGGATGGTATAGTTTATATGGGACTGTGTCTGTGAGGTGATTGGTCAAGTAGAACTGAATCACATTCACTAATTGGACACAAGAAATGGAGGTGGTTGATGAAGCAATATTTCTAAGGCATCTGATATTGTTATATTATAACTGAATCATTAATTTTTAACATCCTACTGAGGTGGTAATTAATCAGTTTTCAGTTGCAGAAATCCACCCAATTGGACCATCTTGTTCAATTCAAATTGACTTGACCCCTGGATTGGAATGGAAGGCCTCCTATAAAAGACAGTATGAATAAAGATTAAAGTTTAATTACGATAGTACCCTTTAATTTCCAAATTAATTGTGAAAATTATTTAATATAAAAGGGTATAATTGGGCCTTGATACACGAACTTGCAGCAAATATAGGACAATATCATACAGTTCAGTCCTGTAACGCATGGTACACAAACATAATTCAGAGATTTCAAGAAGAAAAGATGTTCTTCATGGAACATAGCAAAATGTTAAAATTAATTTCCATGGTATATACATTGGTTTTTACCATTTTGATGACAATAGTTCACCAAAACATTTTCGGAATAACTTTGAATGAGCATATCGCAATCTCTTCATCTTTATACATATATTGAGTAATTAAATGTAGCTTCTTCAGTTGTCAACCAGAAATTGGAGGGCAAAAATATTGAACCTCAGACGTGCAAAGGAATGATGTTTCCATAAGAGGAGCTGAAATTGTAATCTGGCTCCCATGTAGAGTGCAATGGTCTAGTTTCAGTCACCAGTGGAAAACATATGCATCGTGTTTGATTTTGTTAGCATAGCTGGTTGGCACTTAGGAGGAGAAGCATCTCAACCTTCTTGAATTTACATACGCAAGTTCTGGAGTAAAGCCTGCTGCATGAAGACTGCTAAAATGCTGCCCATGGATATGTTTATGACGTTCACAGCATCATTGTTGAGCTGTAAAACAGAGCATAGACGGCGTGTAAGAAGCACATAGAGCTAAAACACAGAACAAACCAGCAAGAAAATTTTATATTACGTAGCAGATCCAGAACGTTGCAGTCAGGTATGTCTACAGAGATAGGGAAATATGTTGAAGCAGTTTTTGGGTTGAAGAAGAAGATCATGGTCCACCATGGATCATTCTCTAATTCATCATATGAGAGAAAATCATACAAATCTATTTTTCTTAATAAACACATGTAACCCCAGGGCCCTCCATGCTTCTTAAGGTACCAAAGACCTTTGAGAAATAAAATTATAAACACATGTAACCCCTAGAGCCCTCCATGCTCCTAAAGTTACACATCCCATTTATCAACCCAACCTCAATGGGATAAAAAAGCACATACTTCCCGAATTCAACATTGATTCACCAAAACATGAATTTAGCTGGCCATTGGCACTCCTTAATATTCTTAAGAGCAAACTTCCACGCCCATGACCCAATCATACCAAACTGATTGGGTGAACAGAATAAATAAATAAAGGAGAAAAAAAGTTACATAAAAAGAATCAAATTATTGAAATGGTTGCCTACCCATCGAAATCCTTCCTTGTCTTGAAGAGCAGCACCTATAATGCTCTCACCAAAATTAGCTATTTGGGAAGCTATTACGCATATAATTGCTTCAGGGGCAGTTATCTGTTTGACCAAAAGTACAACAAACGTTATAAAATGAAAAGAAAAACAAACAAACAAAAAGATAAAACATACAAAAAATTGAATGATTATACAGGAAACAGCACCTCACCCATGAGACAACCCACAAATGCAAGAAGTATAGCGGCCAAAAGTCCGGCAAAGGTTCCCTCGACACTTACAGCCCCCTCTGTTCCCCTTGGAACTACCTTCAATGTTGTAACTAAGTACCTGGTCAAGCAGCACAATTTAGGCAATTAAAATTTTGTATTGAGCTGGGGTGATAGCAATAAATAAATTTGCATGCAAGCTATGAGACCAAAGAAAATATTGCTTATCTAAGAAAAAATAAGGTTTAAAACATTCCACCGATTCTCAACTGGGTATCATAAGAATGTAACATGAAATCTAACAATATTTACATGAATAGCCCAACTAAAACCAAACACAGAAACTTACGTTGTTTTGCCATATGCCTTTCCTATCTCACTTGAGACAGTATCACTCAACTTAGTACAGAAGCTGGCAACAAACCCAAGTTGCCAAAGCCGAGAATATCCAATTCCTCCTGCTCCAAATATTGCAAGAAAAGCACAAATACAACCAGCAGCACTGGATCCAATAACACTTCCTGGGCCTCTCCGTCCTTTCCTCTTCTCAGCTACACCCTCAGCCTCCTTTTGTGCCATTCTCACCTTTGTGACTGCCGTGCCCTGATAAGATTTTGATCAAACCCCATTACGAAATATCAGCAGCAGAAATGAATTGGAAGTTAGTTCCTTAAAGAAAGAAAAAGGATTGCTTAACAGTTAGTCTTCAATCAAGCCAATCTGCCTACCAATCAGCTTCTCAAAAAAGTGTGCCAACACATAAAAATTGGGAAGAGGGGAACTAGCTAATAGTAACAAAACACATTATTTTGACCAAAATCAGAATTAGACATTACACATTTTTAGCATGAATGGTTACTGCAGCGGCAAGAATGGTCACCAGTACAGTAGACGAGGGTATAGTCCACCAAAGCAGCAAAAGGATTACACATACTAAGAATTATTTGAAGTTTTATTTAGCTGTAATTTAATAATTCAATGAGCCACATAACATAAAATTGTTAATTTTACAAAGTTACAGATTTCACGAAAATCACCGTTCAACCAAGTAAATTATCAACTGCCAGTAGGAAAGTTCAGCACCTCAAGTTTTGCAAACCTCACTCAAATTCTGAAAACCAAAAATGAGGGGAAAAACAGAAGAGACTTTAAAGCACAATCGTTTAAATAAAGAAGAAAACTTCATACCCATTATGAACAAGTTCTATGAAATTAACAGACTGACCAATTTATACCCAGAAAAAAAGTAGAAAAGATAAAGATCCATACTGAATTAATCTCCACAAAACACTCAGACATAAAAGCAAGATATTTTGCACTCACAATGACGAAGTATGTGGCCACCAAGAGAAACCCAGAAGACCCAAAAGCGCGCCAAGTGAGAGTACCAAGCAAGAAAGCAGCTGCAATGCCAGAGACAGATAGCCCAGAGACCAAAATCGGAGAACCCAATAGAAAGATCAAGAGGTTGCTTAGGATGGCGGACTGCCACGTGGGAGGTGATGATTGGATCAGGTTCATTACCTCTGATACTGCACTCTGCACACTGGCTGCTTGAGGCTTCATCATGATCTCCATGATGGGTTTCCTGTGGCAAGGGCTTGGAATTAGGAAATTTCTGGGGAGAATGGAGGAGGAGGAGCGGTGGGATTTTAATAGGGAAGGAACTGGAGGAGGTTTGATGTGTAATAGGAGATGAGTTGACAATGCCATTTCTTTTGTGTGGGTTTTGGGATTTTGAATGCGGGTTGAGTGTTTAAGAAGAATTCTATTTGGATTCTGGCACAGTCAGTCCATACGAAGTGTCAATTTTTTTGTTGGCCAAATTAGGAAGGGGAATGATATTCTTCTCACACACACACAAATAATGTGTTATTAAAGTTTAAACATGAGATTATTAGTCTTTAAATTAAGGCTATGAAGTGTCAATTTTGATATTTCTATTTGGATCTTAACCCAAAATCACATAAATTAATAATATCAAGTGATAATATAGAGCTCCATCATGTTTCTCTTTTGTGGTAGGTAGCTACAACTACTAAGGAAGTGATTCTCTGAAGAAAAACACCTCCCAAATCAGCCCTAAATTAATAACAAAATGAAACATTTTTCGACATTAGAAAGAGAAGTACACCAATAATTATGGGTACTATTAAACGAACTCTAAAATTAACTGAGCACACTCTACTACCAACTTATTTATTACATTACTAATTTACCATAACAGAAGATGACAAAAAACGATATATTGAATAGTGAAACAAATATAATTTTAATAAGTACACCTTACTCACTATATTCAACCCTAATTTATCCTTGGTAGATCCATTTTTCTTGATCTCAGCTTTATATTCTTGCACTTGAGTTTGAGGAACAAACTTGGATTTTTCCATATGATTCTCATCTGAATGTCCTTAACTTTTTATGCTAAACTCCCGATCAACTTCATTGGAATTTTTTTTTATGCTTTCCTTCCCACTACATTTTTTTAGAGAGAGATATTCTTCCTTTAAATTGTTTATCAACTGAAGTCTTTTTCGAATCATATTCAGTATCATCTCAACAAGCATAACTCCATTTGTAGCTCTTGTTGGTATTGTCCATTTTTAATTCAATGGAATGAAGATCACTATCACCACCTGAGTCGTCTTCATCATCACACTATTCTCTATATCCAACAATTTCCATTCCATTCTTTCTTTGTGTTCTGAAATGATATGAAATTTATTTTCTTTAAATAAGCCTCAAGTTATTTGATTCTTTACAAATCTTGTGTTATATGATAGAGTGTATTAGGGGTATATTTTTAGTAGTTAAATATGGTGTACTTAGTTAATTTTATATTTTAATTTAAATATTAGAGTGTACTTAGATCATAAGGTGTACTCAATTAGTTTTAGAGTTCGTTTGACAACACCCATAATTATTTGAAAAAGAGTTTTTTCTTCAATAAAAAGTAAGCTTTTTTATTTTCACTAAGCTCAACTTAAACACTTTGACAATAGCGAGGGTAAATTCCAAATGTTATGTTTTTATTGTTTGTCGGAATAAAAAAAAGAAAATGTGAAAAAACGAGGGAAGCGGTGCGTTTTGATCTCTGTACATCTGCAAGTAGACCATCTTATCCTCTTTATCAACAAAGACTTGAAAAACCCAACCCAGAAAGAGTGAGAGACTGAGACACAAAATGACCGTACTCTCGTTCTCAGCTTCATCTTCTTCCTTTATGCTCTCATCGTCCTCCACTTGTTCTTCTTCAACAAAACCCCCATTTTCTTCCTCCTCAAAGAATGTCATTAAAACCCCATTTGTTGGGCTCTCCGTGGCACCACCACAAAAGCTTTGGCTTCCCACAACCACCAACCTGGGTTTTGACAATGGAAGCAACCCAAGACGGAGCTTCGAGGTCTTCAGCACAAAGGAAATCGCTCGCGTCCCCCTAGATCAACGCTGGATGTTCGAGGACGACGAAGTGGACGGCCCTGTATGTACTCCTCACACACCCTTTCTCTCCATACATATATTGGGCTGTTCTTGTTTTTTGATAAAATGTGGCAAATTTAAGTACTTCTTTTCTTTCATTTTGAAATTTTTTGAGTTAGAACTGTGGACACAGAAAGCAAAACTGTGAAAGAAATAAATTTGAATGTTGTGTGTGCTCAAGAGTTGTGTTTTATGCTTGAATCCTATGTAATCACCGGCTTTTGTGAGTTTGTTTAGCTTTGAACAGTTCTCAATGTGGAAAATTGTAACAAATGAGTAGTCTTATGGAACACTAGGTGGATTTCTCTGCATGAAACTTCCGTCGAGTACATGTTTTGGGTCTGTTTATGAATATGAATATGTATTACATTACATGCATCTTTATGAAATGTTTCTTAATACGGTCTACAAATTTTTGATTTCTAGAGGTACTTAGGTCCTGACTCGGTTAACTGACTCAGTTGGCTTTCTCTGAAGTGGTACATTGTTTTTCTATTTCCCCCCCTTTCTTCAGGACATTTGGAATAAAACATGGTATCCAAAAGCTGCAGACCATGTGAATACTGAAAAGCCGTGGTATATTGTGGATGCCACGGACAAGATTCTTGGAAGAATGGCATCCACAATTGCGATTTACATCCGCGGGAAGAATTTGGCAACCTACACCCCGAGTGTGGACATGGGGGCATTTGTCATTGTGGTATGTAGAATACTTATGCAAAAGCATTCTCTTCAGTACCATTGCTCTAGATGCAGACTAAGTCTTGATCTTCCTTTGATGTATATGGTAGTGGTTGAGGAGTAGTTCTTAAGGTTTCTTGGATAGTGTGAAATTAGAGTCTTTATCACTGTTTAGTCCTGAATTTAGATTAATGAAAATATTGAACATATGATGCGGATGGGTGAATTCTCTTATGGTGTGATGTTTTTCGCTCTTTTAATCTGCAAGTTTAGCTCTGAAAATTAGAATTGTCTTCATCACTTTGTAAGGCATTTAGGCTTGGGACTGTGTGTTGGAGGTGCTGCATGAGTGTCTTGAATATTAAAATGCATAGACTCTGAAAATCCTTGGATTTATTATATGCTTCTAGTCAGATGCCAAGTGAGATTATTATATGGGATATCTTAGAAATGGCTTGGATTAGTGAAATAATTTTGAGATAAATGGTTACCAAAAAAAAAAATCTACAATCTTTTCCTTTCTACTTGTATCATTGCCATCATGTGAACCATTGGTGCCTCTAGCACCATGTTTTACTCTTTATATATTGTTCTTTTCTTAATTATTTTCAAGATTATTTCTACATGAGGTAAAGGTTTTTTTTTATTGTTAGACGAAAGAAAAAGAAAATAAATTAATTCTATGTATGCCATGTAATCCAATCATGAGTTCATAACATCATTGAAGCAAAAATAATAAACTGATGGATTTGCGGTAGTTGTCTGTTCAACCAAAAATAAAAAAAAAGTGAAAAATAATTTTTATAAATATGAACTTGTATGAGATTAAAATTCAAATTTAATAACTTTTACTGCAATAACTGTTCTATGATAACCATTCATACCATGTGATGATAAAAATGATAAAGAACTCAACTGCAGATGAGATCTAGCGGATTTATTTTTAAAACTGCTAATTGTATGGGTTTTCATAGAAGGCAAGGAGGGGGAAGAGAGCTTTCTAGTGAGAACTGCCTTTATTTTTAAATTTTTCTCTCTGTTTTTTGTTATTCTTTGGGATTGATTGGCAGACAGTTTTTTTCTTCTGGCTGTTGTGCTATTGAGATTCTGGTTATTGTAGGTTGTATATTGTGTGGATGGCTGGTCCACTCTCATTGTACTTCACAGTTTCTTTCAATATATCCGTTCTGTTTCCTATAAGAACAAGAAAAAAGAACAGCCTTTAATGATTTTGATGGACCAGTTACTGTATTGGCTTTTGAGTGGACTCCACATATCCCTTCATGTTTTTCTACCATTTGTGGTTTATGTTATCTAATTTTTATATAATTTATCTGACATACCCTTGGCATTCTTTAAAAGTTTTCACACATGCACACACACAAATCACAAAGAAGGTAACCAGGGATTGAACAAAGAAGAATAGGATGGACTCTTGGAGTTAAGCCAGTCTTATTGAAATCATAATAAATGTATAAAGTATAGTCTATAGACTCTGAATGTATTCTGAAGCAATCTTGAAAATTTGTTTTTTTGTAGAGTTAGCTTAAAATCATTTATTTTAGTTGGTTTATTAAATTTGGGTAGGTCCCAAAATGCGTTTGGTCAAACTGTGGTTTTCTAGTAGATCATCTTAATGTTTTCAAGTAGTTTATTGTTGTTCTCTCTGGTTGTCAAGGTTCTGGCATTTGCTTTAACTTTACTTGTTTGCATGTTTTTTCTTCTTTTGGCTCGCCAATGCTTCTATGCTCAGGTGGATGACTGTGTTGTGCTTTCAAACTTTATAGGTAAATGCAGAGAAGGTTGCAGTTTCTGGCAAGAAAAGAACCCAAAAGCTCTACAGGAGGCATTCTGGACGACCAGGTGGGATGACAGTGGAAACATTTGACCAGCTACAGCAGAGAATTCCAGAGAGAATTATCGAACATGCTGTTCGGGGTATGCTTCCAAAAGGGAGGGTGAGTTCCTACGCAGACAAATAAAATTAGATCTTTCATTTTACTTTATATATGATTGACTGCTAAACAAAGGGTTGAAATAAACGAAACTTACAACTCCTGGACTCATTCATAATGTTGATAAACTAAGACTACACTTGAAGCTATCTGCATGGGTAAGTGTGCTTGGTTTTTCCTTCATAGTTTTCTTACCTTTTCTATTAGTATGGTTCATGACTAGTCTTGAGTTGCACTGGAGGAGAGTTTTTAACCAGTTACAATTTCGATTTTCAATTACAAGTTGCTGTTTAGAAAACTAGCTATTGCTCTGTCTTTGCAACTCTGCAGCTCTGCATCTATTTCCTTTTGAAACAAATTCTCTTGTGCAGCTTGGCAGAGCACTTTTCAACCACCTAAAGGTTTACAAGGGCCCAGATCATCCACATGAGGCTCAGAAGCCAGTGGAGCTGCCTATAAAGGATAAAAGAATACAGATACAGAAGTAAATTCCAAGTTGACTCTGCAAGTACATCAGGTGCACGTGGTATTGTAATCTAGATGGAAGCACTTGTAGGTTTCATTTGCTTTTATGTAATTGTATCTGAAATGCGATTAATGTCTAACATTTTTCAGAGTTATTCATTTTGGGGAAAAAAAAAAACCTCTTTATATATTTTCTTGGTGGATGTATGGGAATGTAATGGTGGCTAGATTGCATCCATATCTAGTTACAAGTCATGGGTATGGATCCTGGCAATCAACAAACACCACCCCACATAGGTTTGAGGCCTAAACAAAACTGCTGGCTATATTACATCCACAACCATCCAGGCCTTGTTGCAGAGGAAAGACAGTCGCAATGATCTAGGGACCAAGGGGTTGCAAAGCTTAAAATGACTTGTGTGCCATCTAAGGAGGACTACAAAAAATTGGAAGCTCATGAATAGGGTACATATCTGTACATTCGGGCCATGGCGGATTTACACCTTGAATTGATGCATTAAATAAAAGTAAGATGCTAACAATAGTTGTGTGTGATGCAATTATTGATCTATGTGAACCTCAAAATAAATACAACGAAGATAGATTAATGATGGCAATATGAGAATTCCCTTTAATTTCTTTTAAATTTGATCCAATTTTCTGATAGTAGTAAGGGGAAATTTGTAGCTAAAACTTTGACGATAGTCGATAGATGTGGGTCACCATACAGCCCAATCTACGGGCTCAACTCCAAGCGAACAGAAATTAAACCATCAACAAGATGCAAATGTGATTGTGGGTAAGATTTGTTGGTAATTTTTATCATATTATATTTAGTTTACTCCAATATTTCACACAAATCAAAAGAGTTGAATAAAAAAGCATTATAAGTTGTATGTTACTCTAACACATCAATTAAAACAGTCGTTGCAAGTTGTACTTTATTGTTATGGATCATGAAAATTGGTGCTTTTAAAAGCATGTTTTGGATGATCACACTTTTTGTTACATAAGTTGTTCATATTTTTAGTGTTTCATGATTGGAACGTTTAATTGCTGTGATGTTTTAAAGAGTTTTTTCATTATTGGTACATGCATTAGTCAATTCCACGAGAAAAAGGTTAAGGTCGGGAAAAAAAACTCAATAGCAGCCTCATTTTACCTTTTAAACTCAATTTGCTTCATTAAAATCCTAAATATCAACTCCGCTCCATGTCTCACTTTGCTCATTTTCGTCAACTTTTCTTAACATATATATGAAAAATAAATAAAATAGAACATACGAGTACACTCATATATGTCAACAATTAGCTGGTACATTAGTTTGCAGTGAAACAATTTTATAAAACAAGGTGAATCAAAATTTAGTAAATGGTGATTTTTATCAAGTTAAATTTATCTACTCGTTAATTCTATTTTTCTTATTAATCGTATATTGTGAACTACGAGTGGGGCATTTCTTCTAGAAGCAATTGTTGTCACAACAATAAGCCTGAAACTGAGTGACATGGAGTTACTTCCATGTTCCATCCAAAAGGGCAATATGTTTCCGTATCCTAGTGGGAAACCTAATGGCAAAAGGGAGAGGCGGAATTCTATAAATAATAAATATTGGTTGGTCCGCACTCATTCTATTCATCACTCTTATTCGTTGCTCTCTTTTTCTCTCAATACTAATATCGCTGTGTGAAAGATGATGATCGCCAACACCAATCCTGCATTCGGTGGTTATGGCTATGGCTATGGCTATGGAGGCTGTCAAGAATTTATAACAACAACAAGACATGATAAATTGGGTAGAAAAAGGAAGTTGAATAACCCTGATCTACTTCAAGAATTAGGGCAGAATCGGAGGAAGATTCATAATGAGAAGATGACGATGGTTTGTGGGTCGTGCTATCTGCCCAAAGACAACCCAACCAAGCCTCTCGGCGAAGACGCCCATTTCATGTGCCAAGACTCCCAGATCATTGGCGTGGCGGACGGTGTCGGCGGTTGGGCCAAGATAGGCGTCGACGCGGGCGAGTACGCTAGGGGACTCATGAACAACGCCAAAAAAATGGCAGCCGCCAATACCGCAGCCACAGTCGATCCAAGAAACGTGTTGAGCCAAGCCTACGCGAACAACGCCGGACTACTAGGCTCGTCGACGGCTTGCATCCTCAGCCTGGACAAAGAGCGTGGGGCCCTGCACGCCGTGAATGTCGGGGACAGCGGGTTCATGGTGTTTAGGGACAGCAAGTGTTGGTACAAGTCTCCGCCTCAGCAGCGCATGTTTAATTGTCCGTACCAATTGGGGAACCACGTGGGCGGCGACCGTCCGGAGGCGGCTCTGGAGTTTGTGGTGGAGGCAATAGTCCCGGGGGACATCATAGTGCTCGGGACAGATGGGTTGCTGGACAACATATTTGCGAGTGAGATTGAGGATGTTCTTGTGGCGTATAAAGGAAGCGGTCGGGATTGTGAGGAGTTGGCTTCCGCCGTAGCAAACCTGGCGCTGTTTAACTCGTTGGACAAGTACAGCGTTAGCCCTTTTCAGATGGAGGCTGAGAAGGCTGGACTGAAGCACTCGGGAGGCAAGATCGACGACATCACTGTTGTTGTGGCCCAAATTGTGGCTTCTAGTACCTCCTTCACTACACCAGCTAGCTTAGGTTTCGTTTTTGAACAAACAAATACAAAAAGAAAAAGAGAAGACTAGCTTAGGTTTAGAAATCGAGGTTGTACTTTCCACGTCATTACAATTAATATAATTCTTTTTTTTTAAAAAAAAAATTCATAAATGTACATTATAATTAAAGATCTTTCTCGTAAAATATATTAGTAGTATTTAAAAGTTACGGAATGAAGACACGTTTTTGAAAAAAAAGATAATGTGCTGGCCTAGTAGTTTTGGTCAAATCAAAAACACGTTTTTGAAATTGAGATTGTACCACTTTTACTTTATTACAATTAATGAAATTCTTTATTTTTTTAGTCATGCATTGAATGTTGCATCCACTACTTTCATTTTCATTTTCATTTGTAACTAGATTAATTTATGCAAGACAAAGTAATTTAAATCACCATGATTTCCTTTTTGGAGGTACATTCATAATTTCCTTACCATGATGTTCTTAATTAATAAAACACGTGGCCAGTAAGTTTTGTTAACCGTTTTAGTGGAAAGTTAATTCATTTGTCTTTGTTAGAAGCAAATATTTGTTTTTCAGATTAAATTGGATGTAACATAATGAGTTTGACAACATTGTTGTATTTTTCACAAAATAGACAACATTAGCTAATGGTCCTAAACACAGAGAGCCTTTTTGCATTTAAGGCTAATTATTATTAACCTTCTGACATTCATAAGAAGAATTTTAAGAAGACCAAAAAGAAAGAAAGAAAGAAAGAAAGAAAGAGGGTGGCTAGAGCAAAGCTGCATATAGAAGTTCATTCCAAGTATCAGGAGCACCAGGAAGATACCTATATGTGTGGTATGAAAATGTATTCTGACTGGTACATTGTAACTTATATATGCATTTCACTTAATCTTTTGTCGTTGTAGTAATCTAATGATTTATAATATGACACGTCAACTACTATAAATTTAATTTAGTTTTAACAGTCTAAAATTCCAATTTTATCTTTCGAATAAAATTAAGAAGAAAAGAAAAGGAACCAAACCCACCCCGTTCTAGCATCACCATCATCATAATAACCACTCCACCGATCAACAAACTTTGATGTGTACTTAGACTACCTTTGCTATGTTTGTCTCACGGGTCACACAAACTGATTTTAATTACATCTCATGATCAAATGAAGATTCTAGCCACTTCAAGCTTGAGAGATCAACACTCTGGAGAACTTCAAGAAGAGAGTGAAGTTGTGGTGGGTTTGGGAAAACTGGCTTATGGAGTATCATTGGATTACCATTTGGCTTTGGTGGGGGGACCTTGTTTGATCTCATTAATCTAGGGTTTTTCATTTATTCATATCTCATTTCATTAAAACGCCAAATAGGCAAGTGCACAAACCAATGACACAATAGAATCATAACACAACTGGGAAAGAACATCTAAACTCAAACTAAGTCTAGAACAAATTTCGCACACCTAACACAATAACAAAAAAATTCAAAATAAAACAACACACACAGTCCAGTGGCCAACCCCAAACACAATAAGCATACAGCCCAATTCACACCCAAAACTAGAATTTTGACAAACTCCAGCCAAACACACAAAAGCTGCCGCCGCTGTTGACAAGAGAAGAGAGAGCTACAAGTGCTGGGTTTGGGTTTTTTTTTTAATTATATTTTTTTAATAAATAAAAAAAATTACTAGATGGGCAAAATTGCACTTTAAGCCGTTAAAATAATATGATGGATCTCATAAAATAAAACTACATTTCATAGTAGGTCGTTAGATTATTATAACGACTAAAATTAAGCGAAATGCTAGTAAATATGTAGACTATAAATGCAAAGGCTCGGAAATACCAATAATTCTCATTTTCACTTGAATATGTGAATACTAAAAAGACTAAATCTTCATCTTTCTTCCTTTTATGTATATGAAAGTGGCTGACTAGATCTTGATCTAATTCTGAAGCAATTACAATTTAAGGCTCTAATTGACCATGGCTGACACAACTATCCTAACACCTCTATTACTATACAATTGGGAGCCTATGCATTGAACAGGAGATTTCGGTCCATGTTATAACCACTGGACTAGATCTTTTGCCATACAATCAACAATGTTTCTTCATGTATTTTCCTCAAAGTTCCGGACATATCATTATTGGACAGTGACAACAATAACATCAAAAAAATTAAGTAAATGTCATTTTAGTCTATCGCCTATCCAAATTATATAATTTAGAAAGAATTATGTAGGCCTTAATTTTTGGATCTAGGGATTTGGTAAAATTATCCTTTCAAAATAGAAATAAGATTTAGATTCATAGGGTTTTGAGATTTCAATGAAAAACTATACTTTATTAAACACAAAATAGAGCTTGCTGCTAGTAGTCGAGAACTTTCCACATGGATGAACTCTTCCGAATGGCAATTTAGTGATTTCTCTTTCTTTCAAGGTCAAATAAAACTAAACCTGATTGATTTACACTGTAGTGCATGGACCTTTTTATCTGCGTGGGCTACGAGTTGTTTCCTTGTAAATCTAGGGCAATATCGGAATTTTAGGGATCCGAAATGAAATGGGCCTCTTTTCTAAAATGAATAAAAAAATAAAAGAAAAAAACTAATCCTGATGGGACAAGGAGAAACGAAAATCTATAAATACTCTTTCTTCCCTACCCATTCCATTCACTTTCTCTCATTAATTACTCACTCTCTCTCTGTTGCTTTTGCTCTCGCTACTCTCTCGTTGTGTTGTGTGTGTTGTTAAAGATGATGATCGCAGCCAACAAGCCGCCTACGTTTGGTTTGGAGACGCCGATCGATGGTGGCTACGGCTCCTGTGGCTATGGCTATGGCTGTGGCCCTGCCCCTCATCAAAAGAGGAAGTTGAATAACCCTATTGATGAAGTTCAAGAATTACGAGATACAAAGAAGAGGATGAAAATTCAGAATGACAAGATGAAGTTGGTTTGTGGGTCCTGCTACTGCCCCAAAGACAACCCCAAAAAGCCCCTCGGCGAAGACGCCCACTTCATATCCCACTTTGCTCAGACTATCGGCGTGGCTGACGGCGTCGGGGGCTGGGCCAGGAAAGGCATCGACGCCGGTGAGTACGCAAGGGGAATCATGAACCACGCCAAAGAAACGGCTACGCATATGGCCGCCATCGGAGCCCACCCCGTGGATGCAAGAAAGGTGCTGAACGAGGCTTACGAGAACAACGCCGACGTACAAGGCTCGTCGACGGCTTGCATCCTCAGCTTCGACAAAGAGCGTGGGTCCCTTCACGCCGTGAATGTCGGGGACAGCGGGTTCATGTTGTTCAGGGAGGCCATGTGTGTGTACATATCTCCAACTCAGCAGCGGAGGTTCAACTGTCCCTATCAGTTGGGGAACCACGTCCACAGCGATCGTCCCGACGCGGCGGAGGAGTTTGAGGTGGAGGATATGATGCCTGGGGACATTATCGTACTTGGGTCAGATGGGTTGCTGGACAACATGTTTGTGAGTGAGATTGAGGAGGTTTTGGTGGCGTTTAATAAAGTAAGCGGTGGTCGGGATTGTGATTGTCAGGAGTTGGCTTCAACCATAGCAGCCGTGGCTCTGTTTAACTCCGAGGACGAGGACAACGTTACCCCTTTTCAAATGGCTGCTGAGAAGGCCGGAGTGGAGCACATCGGAGGCAAGATCGACCGACATCACGTCGTTGTCGTCGCCTTTGTTGTAGCTGCTAGAACCTAGGTTTTGGTTGTTTTTTTAACCCCTACCCCACCCAAACCCCCCCAAAATATGTGCAGCCTATTTGAGATTGTACTACTTCCACTTTATTACAATTAATGAAAATTCTTTATTTTTCTCACGAATTAAATGTTGCATCCACTACTTTCATTTTCATTTTCATTTATAACTAGATTACTTTATGCAAGACAAAGTTATTTAAATCACCATGATTTCCTTTTTGGTGGTACATTCATAATTTCCTTACCATGATGTTCTTAATTAATAAAAGACGTGGCCAGTAAGTTTTGTTAACCGTTTTAGTGGAAAGTTAATTCATTTGTCTTTGTTAGATGCCAATATTTGTTTTCAGATTAAACTGGACGTAGCATAATAATGAGTTTGACAATTGTTGAATTTTCACAGAATGTACAATATTAGTTAACGGTTCTAAACACAGAGACCGAATTTACTAAATTGAAAATACATGGACCATTTTTGCATTTAAGCCAAATTATTATTAACCTTACGATATTCACAAGAAGAATTTTAAGAAGAATAAAAAAAAGGAAAAAAAAAGGGTGGCTAGAGCAAAGCTGCATATAGAAGTTCATTCCAAGCATCAGGAGCACCAGGAAGACACCAATGGCTACAGTCTACAAATTTGGGACCTGGGCCTGCATAAATGGAGGGGTGGCCATCTTTTCTCAGCTGGGTGAGCAAAGTAATGTCCAGTAAGTACACAGGATTTTCAATGCTGCTCAAGACACTTTTTACAATAGCTTCTCCTGGATGGCTTGGGCCTGGATAAGTTGGCCCTAGAACTGGTTGGGTTTGCCTTAGGCACCCTTTTGCTTTTGGGTCCATCCATTCCTTGCCACTAAAACAATTGATTTGATGCCCACAAAAGGGAATATGTTAAGATTTAAAAACATTGAATGTGCAAATTTTATGAACAATTTGATTGAGACGGGGAGTTGAACTTACTCAAGATGAACTGCAGCAACTCCTTGGAAAAAGACTTTGGTCTTTGAAAAATCAATGTTGGAATCAACCCATTTAGCCCAAGTTGTTAATGCAATCTTGTAGGCCTCCATGTGATCCATTTCTTTCACTAACTTGTCCCCTACTTGAAAGTAGTCCCATCTGCAACAAAATCAAAGATTAATCACCAATTATTCAATCTTAAATTAATTATTATGATTAATTGATTGTAACTTATACATATTTGGTATTGAAATGTCCTCTGACAAGATAGTCTAATACGTGGTCTTGCTAGGCTGTCAAATTTAAATTATAGACAAGATTCTCTGAATTCGTAACTCAAATTGACAGTCTAACAATATAACATGCCAGACTGTCTGTTTAGAAATAATACGTTGTTGTATATGGTATGCAAGTTAAATACTACTCATACTTACGTTTGATAGCGCCCAGTGTGAGTCCACCAATGAAATGTGTTGAAGATCAACGTGTCTACTCCTTTCCATTGGTTGCCAGTGGAGATGGAGTTCAGTTTTAGGACTTTGCCTATTTTCTCATAAGCCAAGTCCACTAAGAACCCATTTTTCAGAAACATAATTGACACTTGATATTCCTATATCAAACACAAAAAGAAAGCCAAACATCACCTAACCAGAATTGAATTTGATTTGAATAAATTCAAGAAAAAAAAAAATCCATAAAATCTGGGTTTCAAAATGGATTGAGAGGGCCTAGCCAAACATCACCTCAAGGTAAAATGTGGAAAGCAGCCCTTTCTGGGTTAGGTTGTATTTAGAGTTTGGGACCGCAACATGTAACATGCATGTCAGTGACTGCCACATATTGTTGCTTAGTGAGTCCCCCACAAACATGATCTTTTTGCCTCTGTTTCTCTCCAAGAAATCCTGACCATTGAATCTGTGCAAATTTCACACAACTGGTAGGATGTAACCAAAATTGATTGAACAAAAATAAAAGGACAATATCTGCCTCATTATCCTAAAAGCCGGAAATCCTCATTTCTCCCAATCATTACTGTGTGTTTTTAATGAATTATTTTTGCATATATGTATAAAAATGTGATTTGCAGTAGTGATGAGGAATACAGTGTCCAAAAATAATAGTATATTAGCCAAGGGAAAGATGTTTAGTACCTTGGAAGGTCACAACCAGTAGGCTTCCACCTATATTTGAGGTACTGTTTATCAGGTCTGCCATTGTTGAGGCAATTGAAACCAATGAAGGGGCAGCTTGATGCATTGTAAAGAGGGTACAAACTATCAACAACCCAACTCCCTTGAAAAAAATCACATCCAGTTGAAGATGGATTCAGGCCAGATTTTCCTGCAGCATAAAAAAATGGAGCCCCCTGCACTTGTTTGGGTGCCAATGGCAGAACCAAAGAGACAACCAGAGCAAGAAGCTGAAACCACAATGCCATTTCAGATTCTCTGAAGACTCAAATTAATTTTCAGACAAACTGAAAGGTTCTTTACAAATAAATTATAAGGAATTTTTTTGGGTGGCCCTTTGCCATTTGTTAATTTCCTTTTTTTATTTCCCCTGCTTTTCTCTCTTCTCCTCCGTTGGAATAATTTTAAAAAAAAAAAAAAAAAAAAAAAAAAAAAAAAAAAATAAAAATCATTTAGACGCTGCAAGTTTTGTCATTGTCACTTCAAAATCTAATATAAATTCTGTACATAGGAAACGTACAGATGTTGCCAATAATGTGGTCATCATTTATCACATACAGTTTATTTGTTTACCTTTGAATTGGGGATTACTTACATGAATATGATTGAGGAAAAGAAAAATAGTTAACGAGGAGGATTGCCCGGATATTAATTAACAATGTGCTAGATTTCCGGCTAATGCTAGATTAGAGTGACTAAAAAAAAATTCCCAACATTAAAAAAAAAAATCAAAATCGATGTGGTGGATTTTTATTGATCTATATATATAGCAAAATGTAGAGAATGATGAAACATTCAAAATACCAGAAAATGCCATTGGTTAATGCAAACATTAAGAATTGAAATTATTAATTAAATGAGGATAATAAGGTAAATTCACACTTTTTCATATTTAAAAAAAAAAATTAAAAGAAAAATCAGATAATGGATCCTATTTTTATGGAATACAACTACCCATTATTATTTTTTAATTCTAAAATAAATTTAATTTTTTTTAAAAAAAAGTGTCTCGCGGACGGGGAAGCTCATGCGGAGAGGTTAGTTGATATTATTTCAAAGCTGATATATTTCTTAGGGTTGGGCATTTAGACTGGTAACTCGGTCAAGCCGCCCAAACCAAACCAATGGTTTGGTTTTTTTTCAAAATTTTTTTGGTTATCGGTTTGAACCCAAATTAAACTGAAATATATGATTTGGTGTACGGTTTACAATATCCAAAACTACAGTTTAACCAAACCAAATTGATGGTATTAAACAAATATTATATATAATATATATATATATATATATATATAATACATAGGTTAAAGAAGTAAAAAAAATAATAAAAAGCTAGCTTTTGTTGTTGGGCATGCCAACACACATGCCTAACTGAATTTTTTTAAAAACCCCTAACACACGCATGCATCTTGTCTTCTCTTTTTTTTAAAAAAATTCTTTTTTCTTTCACTTGTCTCTCCGTCTCTCCTTCTGTCTTGTCTCCATCAGTCCCTCTCTCTATTTTTTTTCTTCTCTTTCTTCTTACATCTATGTTCACTCCTTCTCCCCGTTTTTTTTTTTTTTTTTTTTTTTTTTTCCCTTCTTCTTCTCTCTCTCTCTCTCTCTCTCTGAAAGCCAAAAAACCCAAACCAAACCAAACCAACCCACTAAGTCTGGTTAAATGAAGTGGTCGGTTTTCATCAGTTATGGTTTGGTTCAGGTTTCCAAAATATCCAAACCGAGGCCTATAGTTCGGTGTCCAAGTTGAGCCCAAAACCGAACCAACCCAAACCAAGCCCACCACTAATATTTCTAACTATAGTGGCCGCAAACATGAGCTTATACTGAGGTTGAAACTCCTCTGGTATTCTAGTGAGTTTTATACCAACCAAAATTTTAGAAGTGGTCGGTATATGCTCGTGTTGGGTCAGTCTCGATTCTCGACTTTTGGTTGCCGAGGACATTAGTTTGGTGGCTGATTTGTACAAAATAACCGACTAGACCAAATTGTGTCTAGCCCTAATTTAAAGAGTGGGAGGAGATGATAATGTTGATGGTTATAGTTTTTTCTTCCTTTTTTCTATTGGAAACAATGAGATACGGTTGTTATTAAATGAACTAAAACAGTTGTGCCCGCAGAATAAAACCCAACATGTGGTATATAATAAGAATTACTTTTAGCATCTGTTTTTGACACTTTTTATTTTGATTGAACAAGTTATTTATTGTATCATCATCTCCTCCCTAGTCTTTACTTAGTCACAAGAATTGCATACAAAAGTTCATTACGGGTATCAGGGACACCAGCAAGGCACCAGTGGCTACAATCATTTCCCTTCTCCCCATCACCGGCATAAACAGGAGGGTGCCCATCTTTTCTCAGCTGCGAAAGTAAAGTTATGTCCAGCAAAGTTACTGGGGTGCTAGTTGACATTTTAGTCAACACGTCGTTGACCACAGTTGTTGCAGGTGGAGAGCTTCCTGGATATATTGAGCCACTTATAGGTTGAGTTTCTCCATTGCAAGTTGTTGAATTTGAGCCCCATTCTTTCCATAAACCAAAAAAAAAAAAAAAAAAAAAAAAAAAAAAAAAAAAAATAATAGCTTTCTTTTCCTTTTTTTTTCTGGGAGAAATTAAACCAAGAAATTGTAATTTATAATTAATTAATATTTAAAACAGAAAATAATTATTGAGGGACATACTTGTTGTGGGTTGGAGAAATGCCTTGAAAGAAAACTTTGGTGTTGTTGGAATGAACATTAGAGTTCACCCACTTGGACCAAGTAGTTAATCCCTCCCTAAAAGCATCCAAACGATCCATATCTATGTGCGCCTTTCCTCGTACGTCAATGTAGTCCCACCTGAAACTCCCACATAAAACAATTCAATTATCAGACTATTTAACGTATCATATGTTATCAGATTGAAGAATTTATTCAAGTAGAATAATGTTTGAATGTGTACAACGTGGCTTGCGTGGTGGAGAACATTAGTGTACTTAGATTTATAGTTAGCGTATACTAAAGTATTTTGAGGTTTGTATGTATCTCACGATTGTAGCCTTCCTGTATCACTACTACATTTTACGATTTGCGCGACGAATAGGATTTCGTCGCGCAAAGTTACATTTAGTCGCACAAATTTCAGCGCGACAGAAAATCTAAGAAAGACTTTGCGCGACCAATTTTTTTCATTGGTCGCGCAAAACTGAGCGACGGTTAACCTTCGTTGCACAAAAAGTTTAGGGACAACACAATTGTTCGTTGCACAAACCTTTGCGCAACGGAAAATATTCGTTGCGCGGTTCGAGTCGCAACCATTTGCGCGATGACATGTGCTTCGTCGCGCAATTTGTGTCACCAACATTTGCGTGACGAAATATTCATCGTTGCGCATAGCCTTTTCGCGATACGAAATTCTTCGTCGTGCAAGAATAAAATATATGTATTTAAAATGTAATTTTACGGTTTTTATTTTGTAAAATGTGAATTTGCGCGAAGAAAAACATTTCGTCGCGCAAAACTAATATATATTATTTAAATTTAATATTACGTTTTTTTTATTTTGTAAAAAAATAAATTTGGTTTTTTTTTTTGTGGTAATAAAATCCAACATTTCCAATTGTCTCCCACAACGTGTTGTTACACCTCCTACAAGGACAACATATTCTAGTTGCACCCGGGTTGTGTGTACGTGCAAACTCAATAAAATCCTCAATTCCATCTAAGTATTCGTTTGCGCATCTATTCGGGTTCTGTATCCACCTCCTGTAAATACTTCCTGGAACCACAATTACAACACAACAATCACAACAACTTCATACGAAGTCATAATGTCACCTTATGCCTCCGATAAGGGCCCTATCCCATTTGGGAATGCATAGTCATGTCACATAATATACGGCTACATAAGATTAGATTTCGACGTGGATGAATTTCAGCAGCATCTCGATACAATTCTTGAGGTGTATCGTAGGTATAAATACCTACGTACCACCAGAAGAACGTACAGAGATAACACCGAAATCTCTACAATCGAAACCTAATCCTGTAGCCGTACATTACATGACATAACTATGCATTCCCAAACTGTCCAAATAATGGGACAATTCAAGAATTAATTGACCGCAGTCATGCTTTACGCATCCATGCACGAAATCCAACTAATCTCGAATGGGAAACTAAGTGTTACTAAAAATAAAAATAAAAGTACGAAGTTAATTTCAATTAACTTCGTACATCACAACACATTGTGCTACGTCACGCACAATTTAACAACATAATATAAATATAACTTCACAAAAAAAATATAAACATAACAAACTAAGTTTAACATAATGTAATTAATTTAACATTTTTAATATATAAAACGAATAAAATACTTTCTCAATCATTCTCCACTAATCGCTAATTACAAATATCCCTAACGAGAACGAAATTAATAGCGTTAGTACTAATTTACATTAATACTTTTAAACTAACGACAAAAAATACTTACCCAATGAACATACTGAATTCCCAGCAGAGGCAGCGGCAGAGAGGTTGAGAGAGAGGCAGTTTTTTTTTTTTTTTTTTTTTTTTTTGCTTTTCTGCCTATGCAATGGCAGAATTCTAATATGAAGAAGAAGGACTTTGCACGACGAACCCTTGATTTCGTTGCGCAAACTGCCGTCGAGAAAAAAAACTTCCCGTCGTGCAAAACCACTTTTCCGTCGCACAAAATAACTTTTTCGTCGCCCAAGCACGTGTTGACATCACACTTTTGCGCGACGCAAGATTCTAATTGTCGTCGCGCAAAAACGAACTTCCGTCGCGCAAGAATGTACCAACATCAAAATTTATGCGACAAACACTATTTCCGTCGCGCAAGCTTTTGCGCAAAAAAAAAATTCCACGCAAGTATTTTGGTGCCAAAAAAAAAATCCCACGTTTTCTTACGTGACGATAAATCATGTTGTTGCGCTAAGTTGTCTTTTGTGACGAAAACTGTCGTCGCACAAGTTTTTGCTGCCAAATAATAGAAGCCACTATTTTCTGTCCACCTTTACGCGACAAAGTGTCCAACCGTCGCACTAGGTTCTCTTACGCGACGATTTTTGTCGTCGCGCAAGTGTTTGGTGCCAAAAAAAGAAACCCATGTTTTTCTTCCTCACTTTGCGCGACGAAGGGATTTTCTATCGCGCTAAGACATTTTGCGCGACGAACAATTTGGTCGCACTAGTTTTCAGTGGTTTGCGCGACGAATATTTTTTCCGTCGCTGTAGTGCATTTTGTGTGACGAATTCGTGTTCGTCGCGCAAAATGTCGTCGTGCAAATAGTAAAACGTAGTAGTGTATGGAGCCAGCAATGCCAAGTGTTGAAGATAAGCATGTCGTATCCTTTCCATGTCTTGCCATTTTCAATGGAGTCAAGCTTCAAAACCCTGCCCACTTTTGTTTTGATTAGATCCACTAGAAACTGATTTCAGGATAGCGACACAGAAACTCCATAATCCTGCAAAATTCACATCTTATAAGCCTGGGTCGGTCTCTTGTCAACAAAATCAAAAGATCCACTCCATTATTAAAATGTATGATAAATGGAGTGGATTGATTCAATAAGTTTTTTTGATTGATTTAGGACGCAGAAAACTCACAGGCAAATAAAACGTGAAGAGGCCATCTTTGCTTGTTAGAGTATAATTGGTTTGGGGCACAGCAGCATGCAACATGCATACTAGTGACTGCCATTGGCTGTAGCTTAGAGAGTCCCCTACGAATAATATCTTCTTCCCCTTTAACCTCCTCAGCATGTCCTCACCATTGAATCTGTGCTCCATTTGCAAAACACGTCACACACACACACACACACACACACACACACACACACATATATATATTTAAACGATACATATCGCGTCTTGAGAGATTTAGTCAGTAATGTGGTACAAACAGTTTTATTTATGACGATTGTGAAATGATATCAAAGAAGAATAAAACCCCTGTAAGAAGAGGAACTGTTTTACCTTGGAAGGTCACATCCAGTTGGCTTCCATCTATATCCGAGGTACTCTTTATCAGGTCTACTATTCTTCAGGCAATCAAATGCTCGATTGATGAATGGACACTTCGATGAATCGTAGAGTGGATGTATATCTGAAGGATCAATTATCCAACTTCCATGAAAGTAATTGCAGCCATTTGATTGTTTGTCGTGCCCTGCGCCTGCGCCTGCGCCTGCATCACCATTTGCATGTACTTGGTAGGGTTGCAATACGACAACAGAAAGAAGAGCTACAATTCCTACCATAAAACTAAACCACAGAGCCATTTTAGAAAAATGTGAATGAAAATTGAGGTGATGAAAAATGATACGAATGCCAAATATATATGTACGTGACTTTTTTCCCTTAATTTTTGGCCAACTTTTGCTAAAGTTTTTAGGTTCATGTATTTATTTATGTCGGAATTAATTTCTCTCCAAAGTTGGAAGATCTCTCAGATTCAAATTTCTTCTCTTTTGTTAAGTTAAAGGCCCTTCTTCCGATAAGTTAAAACAATAAAAGAAGAAAATCAATGTAAAAGGGCATGAAAATCTAATAAGAGTTTCCACAATTGACATGTATACTGATACATTTGCAAAAAATAAAATAAAATTGCCTATGGTACTAATTACAAGTCGGACTACATCCGCATCTATTTATTGAAGTGGTATATGGCTGCAGGTACATGAACCTTTTAGTGCATTGGATATTAACCAAGTTGAGTCTAACAGCAAGCATCTCTTTTATTTATACAGTTGAAAAAAGGAATGAGGAGGAAGAGATTAACCAGGTTGAGTCTAACAGCAAGCATCTCGTCACGGCTTAAACATTTTTATTTTATTTTATAATTCATTCATGGTGCTGTGTTTATCGTTACGTTAGCCGTTACGATATTTTGTCTGCTTCTAATTCTGTACTGCCAAAGGGGAGGGAAATACAAATGTAATCTAATTAAGATAATACTAAAGTTGCTTTTCTGGACCCTTTTTCTCCATTTTCTCCTTTCTTCTTGGTCTCTCTTCTCTACAACCCCCTTTGGTTCCAGGAAACCAACCCCTTCAGCTAATAAACCAAGTAACTCTCCCCGTCATGTTGTAGAGAAATTTCCTGCATTTAATATAATAAGAAGCAGTATCAAAAACACCAAAAATTATTTTCTTTTGTCTCCTAAGTGACATTGTAAACCAAAATTGTTCAAAGTGCATTTTCTGCATGAATCCAATCAAACCTAAGGTTTGACATTGAATGAGATACTAAATAAAACTCAAGCAGATCTCCAAAACTTAATTTTCCTTTATTGTATAAAATAAGTTCACAGCATATATGCCTAAATTTGGTATCCATGTGGTTATTGCTACTTAAGAAAACTAAATTTGAGCACACTTAAAAAGGAATCTATAACTGCATAATCTCTTTGATCCATAAACACATGCTTACCATTTTGGACAAGGAAAACAAAAGAAAAACTAATGCAGAATCATGCTATCACATTTACCTCAGTATCTATAAGTAAGTTTTCTGCGTCCAGAATTTCTGCATAACAATATCAAATGATAATTCAGACTACTCATTATGGTTGATGATGATGGAGACAGTATGAGACTGTATATGCAATAGAGACAATATACAAGCTTAGCTGATCTAAATTACCATAAAAACATAACTGAAGAAAACCCAACAAGGAAATCAGCACCCCAATCCAAATGCATGCTAAATTTTTGAGTTGCAATTAACTAGACCAGCTGGTCAAGTGCAACAAATCCACTTGATATAATCCTGTTACTACAATAACATGGTTATTAAAACAAATGAACAAAAGGCATTTTCATTTAAATACCTGTTAGCAGCAGCAGAGGCAACACAAACCCGCCAAGAAATCTCCCCATGAGAGGCCCTTAGAACCAATCCAATCACTTCAAATTCAAAATCCCATCAATTAAGATCAAAATCACGAAAACCCATTTCCCAACGGTTTTGCAGAGGAGTAGTGGTCGTAACCATTTTTTCTTCTTGCTCAAGCTCTCTCTCAGTTTTTTGCTCTCTAGCTCCCTTGACAATCCAAATCTCAACATGGTATCAGCAACGAAGGTTGGATCTGGATAGTGGGCGTTGAAGCTGTTTGGGCTGAGCTTGGAAATCCGACGAGAAATTTCCGACTCAGTTCATTGATTCTGGTCTCAGATGGCTGGGCCAGGAGGGAGTGATCTCAGAGCTCCAATATTCAAGGGGACAACTATGAGTTTTGGAAGATTTGAATGAGAACGATTTTCAAATCTCATGGAATCTGGGATTTAGTTGAAAAGGGGTTTCAAATTCCAGATTCAAAGGGGAAGAAGGTGGATGATGCTGGGTCATCGGATTCTGAGAAGGAAGCTCTATTAATGAAGGATGCTAAGGCACTTGGGATTATCCAAGGGGCTGTCTCAGAAGACATTTTCCCTTGGATTTCGAATGAAGAAACCTCAAAGGGTGCATGGGATATTTTACATCAGGAATTTCATGGTGATAAGCAGGTCAGATCCATCAAATTGCAGGGTTTGCGTCGTGATTTTGAGTACACAAGGATGAGGGATGATGAGACCTTGTCTGGATACCTCACTCCCCTACTTGAGCTTGTGAATCAGATGAAGGGATATGGGGAAGACCTATCCAAAGGAAGGTTACTTCAAAAACTACTTATAAGCCTGACTAAGGAGTTTGATCCTGTCTGTTATGTAATTGAACAAACTAAGGATATTGAAACGATTGAGGTGCAAGAGGTGATTGCTGCATTGAGGGGTTTTGCTCAGCGCCTTGATAGACATGCTGAGAGCACCACTGAGAAAGCTTTCAGCAGCATGAGCATAAATAAAAAAGGATCTCAGTCAAATTCTGGTTTTGGTAATAATAAATCAAAGAAGAGCTGGAAATCGAAGGGTAAGAAATGGGATTCAAAACCCCAAAATAGTGGCAACCAAGGAGGAAATCATGAACAAGGGGAAAAATCAGATCAAGCAAAAGGGAAATGCAAGCATTGTGATAAGCTTCACTATGGAGAATGCTGGTTTAAAGGAAAGCCAAAGTGCTATGGGTGCAATCGTTTTGGGCATCTCATTAAAGACTGTGAACAATCAAATAAGACTGAGAGACTTGCAAACTTGGCTAGTAAGGTAACAGAACCTGCTACTATGTTTTATGCTTGTCATTCAGCTACTATTGGAAGAAATATGAATGTTTGGTATGTGGACAGTGCTTGTAGTAATCATATGACTGCTCATGAGTCCTTACTTATTGATATAGATAGAAATGTGAACTGTAAAGTTAAGATGGGTACTGGTGATTTAGTACAATCAATAGGCAAAGGTACTTTGGCTATATATGTGCGAGGTGTTACTAGATACATTAGAGAAGTTATGATTGTACCTGGTTTGGATGAGAATTTGTTGAGCGTAGGACAGATGATAGAACATGGGCATTGGTTGGTGTTTGGTGATAATGAGGTTGACATATATGAAGATAAGCAGTTGAAAGAGCTGATTGCAAGAGTTCAAATGAAAGGGAACAAATGTTTTCCCTTAGATCTCAAATATGTCAATCCTCCTATGGCAAATAGAGCAACATTTGGAGAACCATCTTGGCTATGGCACAGAAGATTTGGACATCTAAACTACATTAGCTTGAGGCTCTTACAAGAGAAAGACATGGTTCAGGGTCTACTTAAGCTACAAGAACCTGAGAAGATTTGCTCGGGTTGTGCTATAGGCAAGAGGCACAGAAGTTCATTTGATAAGGAAAAAGCTTGGAGAGCCTCACAACCACTAGAACTAATTCACTCAGATATCTGTGGTCCAATGCAGACTATCACTTTTGGAGGGAATATATACTTTCTCACCTTCATTGATGATCACACTAGAATGTGTTGGGTGTTTTTCTTACAGCATAAGTCTCAAGAATTCAACATATTCAAAAGGTTCAAAAACATGGTTGAGCTGCAAAGTGGTTATCAAATTAAGACGCTAAGAAGTGATAGAGGTGGAGAATATACATCATTGGAATTTTCTAAGTTTTGTGAAGAGATGGGATTAGAAAGGCAACTGACTATAAACTACTCTCCGCAACAGAATGGAGTTGCAGAGAGAAAGAATCGTACTGTGATGGAAATGGCAAGAACAATGATGCATGAGAAGAAAATTCCTTTGAAATTTTGGGCAGAAGCTGTCAATACAGCTGTATACCTGCAAAATAGAAGTCCAACAAGTGCTCTGGATAATACAACTCCATTCGGGAAGTTTAGTGGGAGAAAACCAGGTGTCAAACACTTGAGAATATTTGGTTCACTGTGCTATATCCATATTCTTTCTCAGAAAAGACACAAGCTAGAGGAAACTGGAATGAAGGGAGTATTTCTTGGATATGGGATTTGTGAGAAAGGGTATAGAGTCTTTAACCTAGAAACTAAAAAGATTGAACTCTCAAGGAGCATTATCTTTGATGAGAAAGCAATGTGGAATTGGGAATTGAATGAAGAAGAACAAGTGACTATTCCATGGCATGAAGAAGAAAGTTCAAGAATATCAGAAATTGATTCATATTCTAATGAATCGCTTCAGTCAGTTCAATCTCCTCAGAGATCACAAGTGGTTAAAGATCTGCAAACCACTCTGGAGTCAGCTACACATGATTCATCAGTTTCAATCTCTGAAACTTTTGATCATACTCCACAAAAATGGAAGAACTTAAGTGAGGTCTATGCTCAATGTAAACTAAACATTATTGAACTAGAAAGTTACAATGAAGCAGCCAAAGATGAAGCTTGGAACAAGGCTATGACTGAAGAGATATCAATGATAGAGAAGAATTCCACTTGGGAATTGGTTGACAGACCAGGCAGCAAACCAATTGTGGGAGTGAAGTGGATATATAAAACAAAACTAAACCTCGATGGCTCCATTCAAAAACACAAGGCAAGACTTGTAACCAAGGGTTACACACAGAAATCAGGGATTGATTTCAATGAAACCTTTGCTCTAGTAGCAAGGTTAGACACTATTAGAATTCTCATTGCACTAGCTGCACAAAAAGGCTGGAAATTGTGGCAATTGGATGTAAATAAGCTTTCTTAAATGGTGTCCTTGAAGAGGAATTCTATGTGGATCAACCTGAAGGCTTTGTGATTAAAGGAGTTGAGGATAAGGTGTACAGATTAAGAAAAGCCCTCTATGGACTAAAGCAGGCTCCAAGGGCCTGGTACAGTGAAATCGACACTTACTTATATCAGTGTGGTTTTCACAGAAGTCCAAGTGAAGAAACTCTCTATGTGAGAACCAAGGAAGGTGTGGGAACATTAATCGTATTAATCTATGTAGATGACATAGTATATGCTGGAAGCAGTGATGAAATGGTGAAAGAATTCAAGGCTGAGATGATGTGCAAGTATGAAATGTCTGACTTGGGTTTACTCCATCATTTTCTTGGTATGGGAGTAACACAAACTGAAGGGAGCATTTTCATCCATCAAAAGAAGTATGCACTCACTCTCCTAGATAAGTTTGGACTCAAGGATTGCAAATCAGTGAGCACTTCATTAGTTGCCACTGATAAATTGCAAAGAGAGGATGGAAGTGAAGCAGCAGATGAAAGCTTGTACAGAAAAATTGTAGGAAGCTTGCTATATCTAACTGCAACTAGACCTGATATCATGTTTTCAACTAGCCTGCTTGCAAGATTCATGCACAATCCTTCTAAGATGCACTATAGGGCAGCCAAAAGAGTTCTAAGGTACATACAAGGCACAATTGATTATGGAATTGAGTATGTGACTGGAAAGTCTGCACTTTTAGTAGGATATTGTGACAGTGACTGGAGTGGATCTGAGGAAGATATGAAAAGCACTTCCGGATATGCATTTTCATTTGGAAGTGGTGCATTTTCGTGGGCATCAGTCAAACAACATAGTGTGGCCCTTTCAACAGCAGAAGCAGAGTATGTGAGTGCAGCAGAAGCTACATCACAAGCCATTTGGCTCAGGTTTGTTCTTGAAGATTTTGGGGAAGAACAGACTGCTGCAACAATTGTGTTGTGTGACAACATTTCAGCAATAGCAATGGCTAAAAATCCAGTATTTCATCAAAGGAGCAAGCACATTAAGAGGAAGTTTCATTTTATTAGAGAAGCAATCTAAGAAGGAGTGATTGAACTGCTCTACTGCAAAGGAGAAGAGCAAATTGCTGACATCTTCACCAAGGCACTTCCCAAAGACAGGTTTAGCTATTTGAGGAGTATGCTTGGAGTGAAATCAGCTAGCACTTTAGAAGGGAGTGTTAAAATGTAAATTGCCTAGCTAATTTCTGATTAGTTAGTAATCACTTAGTTAGTTTATATTTAGTCCATTTAAGTTGTCTGTTAGCTGAGCACCTTGAACTCATATGCCAAGTGTAAGGCTTAGGATTGTCTCCCTTATTTCAGCAGTTCTAAAGCTTTGTAATGCCATGTGTCATATTCACATTGGCTTAACCTTCAATGGTTAGATTGTAATTGCTGATGTAAGAACACATTTTGGATGAATGAAGTTTCTTTGCTGCAACGGTTTTGCAGAGGAGTAGTGGTCATAACCATTTTTTATTCTTGCTCAAGTTCTCTCTCAATTGTTTGCTCTCTAGCTCCCTTGACAATCCAAATCTCAACAGTATAATCGATCGGCTACACCCTTTAAATATAGTATTTCAGAGTACGGCCGAACGGCTATACAATTTAAATATTCCAATATATTCGAAACGTATCGCCGCGCGGCTATACTCTTTAAATATAATATTTTCAGAGTACAGCCGTTCGGCTATACGTTTATAATATTTGAAAAATATTCAAAGAGTATAGCCGCGAGGTGATACGCTGAATTTTTAAAATATTCTAGTTGACCTTTCAATTTGATTAGAGTTTTTCTCTCTTGCGCATGAGAGAGATGAGCAATTGATTTCTAAAACCCAACTTCAACTGCGCATGAGAGAGAGATGAGAATTTTCAATGCTGATTATTGTACATCCAGCAAAATCCTCTCCGATGATCCTTTGTACTACAGCATCTGTCTTGTGAATCAACTGAAGCCGTGGCCTCGTCCATGAACAAGAGCCTGCTGTGCTTCAACATAACTCGCCCCAAACAGAGAAGCTGTCTTTGCCCCACGCTCCAGTTGTCGCCGTCATCAGCCACTTAATTTGATGGAAACAGTCAGAACCTAATCCTAAGGCTAGCTTGCATTTCAGTTCCAGAGAGTAAATAATGGGGAAAGTCACATACCTAAAGAATTGAGTTTATCAGGTTGCAGCTACCACATGTTTAAGTTGGCAGCGTTCAAGGCTCTACAACTTGTTGTGGGTTGGAGAAATGCCTTGAAAGAAAACTTTGGTGTTGTTGGGATGAACATTAGAGTTCACCCACTTGGACCAAGTAGTTAATCCCTCCCTACAAGCATCCAAACGATCCATATCCTTGAGCACCTTTCCTCCTGCTTCAATGTAGTCCCACCTTAAACTCCCACATAAAACAATTCAATTATTAGACTATTTAACGTATCATATGTTGTCAGACTAAATAATTTAAGTTATCAAACTATTTAACGTAGAATAATGTTTGAATGTGCACAACGTGACATGTGTGGTGGAGAACATTAGTGTATACTAAAGTATTTTTAGGTTTGTATGTATCTCACGATTGTAGCCTTCCCTTATGCAGCCACCAATGCCAAGTATTGAAGATAAGCATGTCGTATCCTTTCCATGTCTTGCCATTTTCAATGGAGTCAAGCTTCAAAACCCTGCCCATTTTTGTTTTGACTAGATCCACTAGAAACTGATTTCGGGATAGAGACACAAACTCTCCTGCAAAATTCACATCTTATAAGCCTGGGTCGGTCTTTTGTCAACAAAATCAAAAGATCCACTCCATTATTAAAATATATGATAAATGGAATGGATTAAGTCAATAAGTTTTTTTGATTGATTTAGGACGCAGAAAACTCACAGGCAAATAAAACGTGGAGAGGCCACCTTGTGATTTTAAGACGGTTAGATACTGAAGGATTCATGTTAGGGTGAGTATTAATCTAGCCAAGAAATTCCGCCCATTGATATTTTTCGTAACATGGAAATAAGGTGTTTGATGGAGTAACTCGCAGTTAATTGTATTTCTTTCCCTCACGAAAAAGAAGTTCATGGATCCGTCACTATGGTTACGTATGTAAATGATTCTGCATGTACATATAGGTTGCACCATCTGCATTAAGGGGGATCACAAATGACGTGTCAAAACAAAAAATTAAGATCACAAATGGGTTGGAAAGAATTAGTTCAATTTATCCTTGTCAGGCCATTACCAAAAGGGTTAAATTCTAAATTTGTTCACAAATGCTCCTTTTAGCATTATTGCCCTACTATTGGCTGTACAACTTAGCATTTAGAATTCTGAAGAGACGCAAAAAGTTACAGAAATGGGCCCATTGTCCACTGGGGTCGTTGGAGCATTGGAAGGGCTACCAAAGATGTGTGTGTATTATTCTTTCAGCTATCTTGCTGAACAAAAAATATATTTGTGTGTGTATTTAGAGAGGGAGTAGAAATGATATATGAACATATATGTTTGAGAGTGAAGAAAGTTTGCTCAGTTTCTCTATTTTCTGTTGTCCCAGTAAGTTGAATCAGGCTTGACTGGATAGAGATCATGAGCAGATGAAGACGAACCGGTCCAGGTCCCTTCAGTTGGCGCAGTTTGTGTCTGGCTCTTGCCGGTGTTCCTTCCGAAACTGGATTGAAAATGCTTCCTCATTGCTTCTATCTCAAAACTTGAGGCATTTGGATCTGAGACCAATTCCTGAACAGCAGCCCTGCCTTCAAGCATGCTCACAACTGAAGACATGGTAGGCCTAACTGTTGCAGTGACATTGCAGCAGAGGAGAGCCACATTGATTGTAAGCATAATCTCTTCTTTGTTGAAGTCTAAGCACAACCTTGGATCCACTAGTTCCATCAAATTCCCTTGCCCTTTTAGTAGTTGTGCCTAGAAACATATACTGTCAGAGATAATTTGTCTTTACAAATAATTTCACTGATCGTACATATGTTGTCAGAGAAAGATAATGTCAAATGAAGCCAGACTTGATTTTGGATCATCATTAAAACTATTGCAGTATCAGTCACTTTCTCTCAGCCACAAACATAGAATAGAGATCAACAGTATAAGATTAAATTTAACTTTAAATAAGGAAGCAGTAGAATCGTGTTACCCAATCGAGCAGATAAAAGATTTTTTCCTTTCCTCTGTAAGTGGTGTTGTTCATCCCACTAACGATTTCCAATACAAGAATTCCAAAGCCATAAACATCTGCTTTATCAGTCAGATAACCCTGCGTTGCATATTCAGGCGCTATATATCCACCGCAAAAAATGGCTCATCATTTCCCCATATTTAGCTTAGCAAAATACTAAAAATACTACAAAGTTTCTTTAACAGTACAGATCTAGTTAAGTTTGAAACTTATAAAAAGTAGAGAAACCTCCATCTGTTTCCTATTTCTATGGACCCATCGTCGGGGTGGAAGAAATCAAAATAAAAGTATAAGAATAAAAAAATAGCGCAGGGACTCACTAAGTTCCAGCAATACGGGTGCTAATGTGTGTATTATCCTCTTCATCAAGCTTGGCCAATCCAAAGTCAGATATCTTTGGGGTAAGATTTTTATCAAGCAGCACATTAGTAGCCTTGATGTCTCTATGAACGACCTTCAATGTTGATTCCTCGTGAAGGTAAGCCAAATCTCTAGCTATACCAACACAGATCTTGTGCCTTGTTGGCCAATCCAACTTCAACTTTCTTCTGGCCCTTCAATTTGTCAAATTACTCAAAGTTAATAAGGGACATATTTTTATGTATAAGATCTTTTATACCCATCTGCATGAACTAAATGAAGTTTATGTAAGTAAAACTGTGACGTTAAAAACAATAAACACATGAATTACAACATGAATAAAGAATACTTATCGATTGATTCATACTCAGTGAAGAATACATGACAACTATGGGAATGATCTTCTTCTCTTTGCAACACCAGAATGTTCTTGCTATCAATAGGGCATGCACGCCACAGAACTTATGTATTGTGAGAGGAGGGACCGATTCTTTTATATTGAAGAAACCTTAACACTATCTCTCTTATTATAGATAGAGTAAGAGTTTAAACAAAATTAATATACTTAAGTGATTGAGTCCTAGTCAATATAAACTAACCAAAGTCTGTCAAAACTGGAAGTCTAACAATAACTGATAAACATAAATCCCATTATCTCATTCTAATACGATAATCATAACACGTGATTAGGCTAACTCACTGTTGGTAATTTTTATCAACAATATTAAAAACCTTGCAAGTGCACAAATCAAATGATAATATAGTAAGCACCTTCTTGGCTAAAACCCAATGTGGTTCACCAGGATTTGCTTGAAACCTTCCTAATACACTGAGTGCAAATGACAAGTCTGGCCTAGTACAGACTTGGGCATACATCAAGCTGCCCACAAGAGATGCATATGGTTTATTTTTCATGTTTGCTTGCTCTTATTTAGTCATAGGACATTGGTCCCTTGAAGGCCTATCACCTTTGCCAATAGGAAGATCTCCAGGAGAACAAGCCTCCATATTAAATCTTTTAAGTACCTTGTTGATGTAATTGAGCTGAGACAACCCCAAAAGCTTTCTTGATCTATTTCTCATAATTTCAATGCCCAACACACAATGAGCCTCACCAAAATATTTCATATCAAAACTATTAGATAACATAGTCTTTGTCTCAAGTAGTAACTGAAAATCAGAACTTGCTAGCAAAATATCATCAACATATAAAACCAGAAAAATGAACCTGGATTTGTAGACTTTGAGGTAGATGCAATCATCAAGTTTGTTCTCTATAAACCAAAAGATGTTACCACTTCATCGAACTTGAGATACCACTGCCTTGAAGCCTGTTTAAGACCATAAATGGATTTGTTCAACTTGCACACACAATGCTCTTTCCCCCTTTCAACAAATCCTGGTGGTTACTGCATAAAAATATCCTCATTAAGATCCCCATTTAAAAAAAGCAGTCTTGACATCCATTTAATGCAACTCGAGATCAAAATGGGCTGTCAAGGCCATAATGATATGTAGAGAATCCTTGGAGGACACTGGGAAAAAAGTGTTAGTGTAATCAAAACCTTCTCTTTGTGTGAATCCTTTAGCAACCAGTAGTGCCTTTAGCCCTTCTACTCTTCCTTGTGAGTCCCTTTTGGTTTTAAAAACCCATTTGCATCCTATGGGTTTTCTGGAAGAAGTGGAATATGTCAAGGTCCATACACCATTTTTCGCCATTGAGTTTAGCTCTTCCAACATTGCTTTGTGCCATAAAGGAGCTTGAGCACTCTTCATAGCCTGATCAAATGACTTAGGATCATCTTCATCACCAATATCAAACTCTACTTCCTGTAAATAAACCGTATAATCTGTTGGTATTGCAGATTTTCTTGCCCTTTGAGATCTTCTTACAGGAGGTTCATCATGCTGCTCAAGTTGTGCCGTAGGTTGCTCAAGCTGTTGGCGTGAGAAATAACTAACACACAAATTAAACCCTATAAATTATGCAATCGTAGTATGCGTAAGTAGGGATCGTTCTATTCCGGGGATTAGGAGGGATGCTAATCAACACAAATTAAACTTATTAAACTGAAAACTAAGTTAAGGGAACAATGATTGGGGGGAATTTGGACAATTTAGACTAAAGTAATACTGACAGCAGCAAGCAACTAAGTTGTGAATGAAATATGAATGAAGGGATAGCTAGAGGATTCTTCTCCACACATGGAACATATGCACACAAATCGATCTCCAGTTACTCTTTCTATAAAGTATGAATGACAAAGCCCCAAATTAATTGTGAATGCACTAATTAACTCTCAGATTTTCCTAAGTTCATTGAATTGGACTCAGCGACGCAATCAAATTATCCTTATCAAGTTCCCTATATGAACAACATGATAGAGATACATATCAAAGATCATTAAGTTCTATGAAAATCATAAGCCTTAACAAGGCAATTGTAACTATGAAAAGCATGATACTCCTGCCAAGAACTTACTTAACGCAATCATGACTAGTGACTTTTACTACTTGTGAATATAAGTTCATAACGATTAGGTGAAATTCCCTTATATTCTAGCATCAAATCCCTGCATACAAACTAAGTATGCATCCTTAATAAACATACAAGAATAAGTCCTCAATAAAACAGAAAAGTAAATCACATTCATACTTTATGAAACCATAACTGAGAGTAATCAATTCATATAAAACATATGTCCATGGCTTCGAATTCACCTCTAACTAAGAAGAAATTCAGTCACACATGTTCATAATAATTGAAAAGCAATCTAGAATAAACATTTAAACTAATCAAGGGAAGAACTCTGAAAAACCCAATGGATGCAGCAAGTTCCGGCTCCAAGTTCTTCTTCTCCCTTTCTCCTTTCTTGCTACGGCACCAAAAGAACTCCCTTCTCCTGCGGCAACCCCTCCTTTATATATGTGGTAGATTTAGGGTAAAAAGGCCCAGCAGAAACCCACGAAATTAGGGTTTTGTTTGGCAGATTTCTTTAGGAACAAGGATAGGGCCCAACAGAAACCCACGAAATTAGGGTTTTTAGGTTTCCTAATCTAAAATTAATCCCCCCCCTTTTCCAGCTGGAATTTAGGTCGAATAGGATTAGGATAAGGTAAAATAAAATAAAATCAGTTAGGGTTTTTTACTTCCCAGAAGCTTATTCTTGAATTAATTTTCCCCATCTTTTTAGCACATTCCTAGCCTCTTCGAACTTCAAAAACGTCCATCCATCTTGGCCCATGCATATGCTATCCATTCTAAGTCCAAAACTACTCTAAAATGCTCCAAAATGCCCTTTCTTGCCAATCTTGCCATCTGGACCTACAATAGTACGAAAAGAAGCTAAATCACTCTAATAAATGGGAATTAACTAAGTAAATGCAAAGAAATAAGATAGCAAAGTCGCATAAATATGCTCCTATCAAATTCCCCCACACTTGCTAGTCCCTAGCAGAATAAAGAAAACAACAAAACCTAAACCTTCCAACAATTGCCTCAGGGATTTCCAAGGAAACATGACATGTTAAAAATCACTACTCACACATATTTGAGCCATCCTTACCCTCGAGCTCATACTTAATCACAGTAACCACTCACTAGCTGACATTTAATCAATTAAAACAACATTTTAAAGTGGTAACATGCTTTAGAGAATTCACTCAATTCCTCACCCGATATACTCTCTATTTTCACACAGATTTTCTGACTACACTCCCTATACTAAGTATATGTGAGAAGATTGATGTAAACGTGTAGACTAGCACTCACATATGTTATAACAAAGAAAGCACTTTCTGGAATTATTAATACAAACATGTATATGATCTCATGAACGGAATGCTACTACTTAGAAGCGAGAACCATGGATTCCATAAGCTCATATCAATTTCAAACTCCACATATTGAAACACATAACAATCAAGATAGAAGTCTAAGGGTTGTAATGGGGCTAAGGTATTGGTTAACAAAGAAAGGTTAAGGATAAACAAAGGTTCTTAAAGTAATAGTAAACAGAGCAATGAAATCAACACTTGGAATTAAACTTGTGATTGCAGCACCCAATTTTTAGCACAAAGGGGAGATTTATACAACTTTAGGGTCAGATTCACATATCTGGCCCTTCTTTTTTTTGTTTTTTGGTTTTTTTTTTTTTTTGTTTTTGTTTTTTTTTGGACAACACTACTCCAAAGGAACAAATCTTCCCCACACTTTTTTTTTTTTTTTTTTTTTTTTTTTTTTTAATCGTAAATCAAAAGGAATTCCCAACAAGTCATGCTTCACTATTCTTTAAGAACAAGGGTATGGATATTCTTATACGAGGCTAAGTAGGGATAATGCAAGCTAACAAAGAAAATAAGCTAAATAAGGGTTCAAAAGGGTTAAACCTACAATGCATATGCAAGGGATAAGGCTTTTTGGCTTTGATGGTAACTAAACAACTTCATCCTGTTATTTGTTACGCAATCAATTTGATGCTTTGAATGGAACGGGCATGAGTTCTAGTATTTGGAACTAAAGTGATGAAAAAGGAGCTAGTTGTTCTTGCGTCTAGTTTCTTTTCAACTAGATTGTAGATTCTAGCTTCAGCTGGACAACCCTAAACATGTAAGTGAGCAAGACTAGGTTTTCTTCCAGTCCACATTTCAAAAGGTGTATTAGGCACTGATTTACTAGGAACTCTATTCAAAATATAATTTGCCGTTTTTAGTGCCTCTCCCCACAGAAAATCAGGTAGCTGTGAACTAGTAAGCATACTTCTTACCATGTCTTTAAGAGTTATGTTCCTCCTCTCAGCCACGCCATTTTGTTGTGGAGTTCTAGGAGTTGTGTACTGAGCTACTATTCCACTTTCCTGCAAGTAGATAGCAAATGGTCCTTTCTATTGTCCAGCCTCTGTGTACCTGCCAAAATACTCTCATTTAATTTTAGGCTCTGATACCACATGTAAGTAAAACTGACGTTAAAAACAATAAACACATGAATTACAACATGAATAAAGAATACTTATCGATTGATTCATACTCAGTGACGAAGACATGACAACTATGGGAATGATCTTCTTCTTTCTGCAACACCAGAATGTTCTTGCTATCAATAGGTCAAGCACGCCACAGAATTTATGTATTGTGAGAGGAGGGACCAATTCTTTTATATTGAAGAAACCTTAACACTATCTCTCCTATTAAAGATAGAGTAAGAGTTTAAACAAAATTTATATACTTAAGTGATTGAGTCCTAGTCAATATAAACTAACCAAAGTCTGTCAAAATTGGAAGTCTAATAATAACTGATAAACATAAATCCCATTATCTCATTCTAATACGATAATCATAACATGTGATTAGGCTAACTCACATAAGTCATCTTACAGTTTAGGCATACAAGAGTAATATTTACCAAACAAAGCACGAGCAAGGCTATTATTTTCCATGTACTCATAGACAAGCAATAGTTGATTTCCTTTAATGCAGCATCCGTGAAGCTTGAAAAGATGAGGGTGTTCCATTGTAGAAATCAAACCTATCTCATTCACGAGTTCACAATTCCCTTGCTTTGATTTGGAATGCTTGACAGCAATTACAGTGCCATATGATAGAAGGCCCTGCATTTGAGAAACAAAGTCAAAATCCCTTCACTAAAAAGCAGAGTAACTTTAGTAACAGCAATTTTGAACTCGTGCAAAGAACAGTTAAAGATTAAAGAAAGGATTAGGTTTTCTTTCAAAGAAAAACAGGGAAGTAATTGCCTTAGAACTGACTGTTGATAGTTTACTTGCCAGAATAGATAACTTCCCTTTTCTTTCAAAGATTAAAAATCCCACTCCAGCATTTTCTATAAATATGAGAGGAGATGAACAGATAAAAGGACAACAAAAAATCAATTAAAAACAAAAACTCAAAATGATCACTTGATCTCAAAAGCCTTCAAAACGCTGAAGCAACCAAAAGCTCATTGAGCCACAAGAAAGAAGCCAGCTACAAATCAAAATCTCCAACTTCAGTTTAGACTTAGAGAAATAAGTCATTCAAAACGAGATTTCTCTCGTTACAAATTTGGTTCAGCATAACCCAAATCAAGCAGAGTTCGGGTTTTACAAATATGAAAACCTCAAAAAATTTATGGAAAGCCCTGATCAAGCAGAACAGGTACCACAGTGTAGTTCCAGCTCAGTAATCATCAAGTCCAGCCACTTTTTCCCCTTCCAGACTGAAGAGGTCCCAATTTTGCGTATTCAAAAAGCCTTCTAGGGCTTGAAATAGATTAAAACTCTGCTAAACTCGAACGTTGGTATCGATTTACAGCTGAAACTTGACAGTTGAAGTTGTTGACAGTCCAGTCCAACACAGGCATACCCAATCCAGCCCGGATCAGAAGCATCTATCCAGGCAGAAATGGAAGTCCAGCCCTTTTTTTTTGCCTTTTTTAGAGTTGGTTTTCCCTTTTTGAGTTTTGTAAAAGGTACTTCTGCCTAAAACAGTTCACTATCTTATCATTTATTCTGGCCAGAACTACCAATTTTGTACTGTGAAAAATTGTGAAGTCCTCACTAGTCTGAGGCAAGAAAAGAACTTACTTGGGAGATATTCCTCACCCAAATTCACAATCGCTTGTTTAGAAATTAGTAACTTGGGGCGCAAGTTATCTATTTTTAAGAAGTCTGCTAGGATTTTCATTGTTAGCAGTGGCACGCTCGCACATAAAAGAAAGTTGACTTGTTGACCAGTCAATGGTTTTCGAGCTCATGGGGAACTTTACACTACCATTACATGAGCAAACATAAAACGGGTGAACAATAAATAATGGAGCCAGCCCAATCAGCATCTGTATATCCAATAACTTTGAGATATCTATTTTTTGAGAACATTAACCCTTTTCTAAGTGTTGACTTGAAGTATCTTAAGATCCGATTGACTACACTCCTATGGGATACGCTGGGTGAATGCATAAACTGACATACCACACTCACAGCATATGCAATATCTGGTTTTTTGTGGGCTAAATATATTAACCTCCAAATAAGGCGTTGGTATTGTTCGTTATTGGTTGGTTCTTGATCCAAATCTTCACACAACTTGTGATTCATCTCGATAGGTGTGTCAACAGGCTTACATCCAAGCATTTCTGTTTCAGTCAGTAGGTCCAATACATACTTCCTTTGTGAAAGAAATATACCATTTATGGACCTTGTTACTTCAATTCCAAGAAAGTACTTCAGATCACCCAAATCTTTCATCTCAAATTCATGAGACAAATACTTCTGCAGTTTCAATTGCTCTTCTATGTCATTTCCAGTTACGACTATGTCATCAACATAAACATTCAGTGCAATAAGTTTTCTTCCATCACGCTTCAAGGACAAGGTGTGATCCGAATTACTCTGTGTATATCCAAAATTCTTCGTGGATTTAGTGAATCTACCAAACCATGCCCTGAGAGACTGCTTTAACCCATATAATGACTTTCTGAGTTTGCAAACTTGGTTCTCCTTATCACGGGCTAAGTTACATCCTGGTGGTAAGTCCATATATACTTCTTCTTCTAGGTCTCCATGTAAGAATGTATTCTTTACATCAAACTGATGTAATGGACAATCGAGATTTGCTGCTATATATAGAAGGACTCTAATAGTGTTAATCTTGGCTACTGGAGCAAAGGTCTCTTGATAGTCTATCCCATATCTCTGTGTGTATCCCTTTGCCACCAATCTAGCTTTATATCGTTCAATGAATCCATCTGCTTTGAGTTCCACAGTATAAATCCATCTGCATCCCACTGTCTTCTTTCCATGAGGTAATAACACGAGTTCCCATGTGCCATTCTTCTAGAGAGCTTGCATTTCTTCATTCATGGCCCCGTTCCATTTTGGATCTTTTAGCACTTCAGTTACACTGTTGGGAACTGATATGTTTGCCAACTGCTTCACAAAATGTGCCCGTGATTCTGATAATCTGTTGAGAGATATATAATTGTTGATGGGATATTTTCCTTTGACATTAGGGTCTGCTTCGTAGTATATTGGAGGTTTGCCACGGTTATTCTGTTTTGGAATATGATATGTAGGCTCTGTGCCTTCTGAAATTAAATTATCATGGGATATTTCATTAATATTATCAATTTAAGGACAAGATGGTACCTGAATGACGTCCTCAGCAGGTGCTTGGTGTGGTACTAGGTCTGAAGAAGTCTCTGGAGTGGGCAAAATCTCATAAGTTTCCTCCTCCTGAGTTGGACAACAAGGAGACGACACAATAGGTTGAGTCTGGTGTCCGGGGAGCGACTGGTCGCTTTCTGGTGGCGACTAGTCGCTTTCTGGCAGAGTCACGGGTGACCGGACCCTTCCAACAGGCGACCGGTTGCTTTCAGTTTGGAATGTGTCTGGAAAAAGGAAATCCGAATTTTGAGAAGTGTTGGGGTCACAATGCTCCACCTGTGCAACTGAAAAATATATATCGTTTTCCTGGAATACAACATCCATAGAAGTATAAACTTTCTGACTATGAGGATGGTAACACCGGTACCCTTTATGATGAGGTGCATAACCAATGAAGACACTTTTCGGCGCGGGGATCCAATTTGCTGCGTTGGTGATGATGTAAGTGGACGAAGACCACACATCCGAAAATTCGTGGTTCCAAGTTTTGGGTATGAGGTATTTGGAGATGGTGGTGGAGTGTTTGAAGGGGGGATTGGAAATTTAGGATACTGGAGGGAATTCGATTGATAATGTATGTTGCAGAGAGGGCTGCTTCTCCCCAAAAAGGCCTAGGCATTTTGGCACCAAAAAGAGAGGCACGAACTACTTCCAATAAATATCTATTCTTTCGTTCAGCTACACCATTCTGTTAGGGAGTGTGAGGGCATGAGCTTTGATGTATGATGCCATGATCTTGTAAGAATTGATTAAGGTCATGGTTGAGGAATTCCCCGCCATTGTCAGAGTGAAGAACCTGAATTCTGGTATGAAATTGTGTCTCCACCATTTGATAAAACTGTTGAAACTTGGAACTGACTTCCCCTTTTGTTGTGAGAAGGGAAACCCAGGTCATGCGTGTGCAATCATCGATAAATGTGACAAACCATTGAGCTCCCCATGGAGTGGTGATTTTAGTCAGGCCCCAAACATCAGAATGAACAAGAGAAAATGGAACCAAACTTTTATGTGAACTTAGGGGAAAAGGAACACGATGGCTCTTGGCTAGTTCACAGATGTCACACTTAAAACTGGAAATATCTAACTTGGAAAATAAGGAAGGAAATAGCTTCTGTAAATATCCAAACGAAGCATGTCCAAGATGGCGATGCCATAACCATACTTCGGAAGTGTGCTTCTCAACACTCACACCCCCAATTTTGTAAGTTTGACTGGGGCTGGCTTCACAATCATATGCCAAGTCCAGATAGTAGAGTTTGCCCCTCCTAGTATCACAACCAATTGTCTTGCTGCTGAGAATGTCCTGAAAAACATAGTGAGTAGGCCAAAAGGTTACAGTACAATTCAAAGCTGTAGTAATTTGGGCAACATACAAGAGATTATGATGTAAGGATGGAACAATCAACACAGAATCCAAGGTGAGGGAGTCAGAGAGAGAGAGAGAGAACCCTCCCCAATTACTGGGGAGGGGGTACCATTGGCATTAGACACCACCGATTGAGAAGACGATGTATGAGAGTTAATTTGGCCAGGATCAAAGGTCATGTGATCAGTGGCTCCGGTATCAATGACCCATGTGTGTTTCTTTGAAGAACTATGCAAAACATAACAGTGGGAACCTGTGGTGGTAATTTTGGAGGATGGGGAAGTGGAGGTAGTAGTTTGGGAAGAGATGATAGTCATGGTAATAAGTGAAAAAAGATGTGTTTAGGGTTTTGGGATAAGAGAAAAATGATGTGTTTAGGGTTTTGGGATAAGAGAAAAATGATGTGTTTAGGGTTTTTTGGGATAAGAGGATATGAGGATTTGGGTATGAAGATCTGAATCTGAAGCTATAAATATGAGGAATTTGATTTATGGCTTGTGTTTGAAGAAATTTGAGATGATAATTAAGGATTTGTGTTGGAAGAGATTTGATATGAGGATTTAGGGTTTATGTTCGAAGAGATTTGATATGAGAACTTAGAGACAACCGAGGATCGATTGCTGTGATACCATGCTAAAATATGATATTAGGTTTGAATACTTTGGGTTGAATTTTATTCTTCTCCATAAGGAGGTATATATAGGAACGTACATAAAGTTTTACAAGGAAATAGATACAGTAATCAACTAGGATAGTATCTCTTAATTATACAAAGATGTGTCTACTAAATAAAATGGGAAAGTAAATCCCTTAATTAATCAAGGAAATAAATTTCCTTGATTAATTAGGAGAGTCACATAAGCAGCCACAATTCCAACTATTGCACTGACAGATATGCCACTTCCACCAGATGCAGGTGACGTTACAGCTTTTGGTGGGGGTGGAGAGTTGGTTGGAGCTTTTGGTGGGAGTGTAGAGTTGCCAGGAGCTTTTGGTGGGGGTGGAGAGTCGGTTGGAGCTCCTGGTGGGGGTGGTGGTGGGGGTGGAGAGACGTCTGGAGCTTCTGGTGTGGGTGCAGAGGTGTCTGGCTCTTCTGATGGGGTTGGAGAGTCGGTTAGAGCTTCTAGTAGGGGTGGAGAGTCGGCTGGAGCTTCTGGTGAGGGTGGAGAGTCGGCTGGAGTTTCTGGTGGGGGTGCAGAGTCGACTGGAGCTTCAGGTGGGGGTGGAGAGTCGGCTAGAGCTTCTGGTGGGGGTGAAGAGTCGTCTGGAGCTTCTTGTTGGGGTACAGAGTCTGGAGCTTCTTTTGGGGGTACAGAGATGGCTGGAAGACGAATAGCTTTATTAGGGTACATGCAAATGTAATAGATAAGAGAGTGCAATATTCAAGCAATGCACAAAGAAAAGAAAAAAAAAGATTCAACGTAAGTAGATAGTAAGGATAATACAACACCCACAAAGAAAATAATATGAGTTGAGTAACATGAGTAGAGATCATAAATATGAACATCCACATATACCACACATATATGAATTACTGGCTTAGTAATTTCCACTAACTCACGAGCTGAGACCTCAGAGGAGATGAGGATCACAAGAGCAAACATAAAGCAAAGAAGAAGAAAAGTCTTGGAGGATGATGCCATGTTTTTCTTAACAACACAATTAAGGTGAAGACAAGATTGTTGAGTGAACTTAACGTGGTTTGGCCTCAACCAATTTATAGACAGACAATTTTGGGTTATTTATTGAGTTATTTATTGGGGAGTTTTGGAAATTTTGGGATGGCGAAAGAGAGAGATGGAGATATGAGAGAAGAGAGAGCACGGGAGGAGAGGAGAGGGTAGTAGGTGAGAAGAGAGAGAAAAATAGAGTCGGTGAAGGAGGAAAAGGAAAAAAATAGGAGTCATTTTGTAAGAGGCCACCTCTTGTATTGAGGAGGAATGGCTCATGATATATCATGAGCCAATCATTGTCGAGAGGGAGAGAGAAAAATTTATGTGGACACCGTTGAACTGAAGATGCCTAAAGGAGAGGAACTTGTGTGTTGTGCCCACCCGTCTTCTAAACCCATTTTATTTTCTACTTGTGTCGTGTGTGCCCTCCTGGGTTTGTGTGTTGTGTTGTAGTGTTCATGTCTCTATTGTGTTCATATGGGTGCTGTGATACATATTTTGAGGTATCTAAAAGTAACTCCTGGTAAGGGGTTAATGTTTTCCAAGTATGGTCATACAGATGTTGAAGGATATACAGATGCTGATTAGGCTGGCTCAGTCACTGATAGACGTTCTATGTCTGGGTATTTCACATTTGTTGGTGGTAATCTTGTAACTTAGAGGAGTAAAAATTAAAAAGTGGTGTCTCGGTCTAGTGCCAAAGCCGAGTATCGTGGGATGGCTCAAGGTGTGTGCGAGTTATTATGGTTGAGGAGATTGTTGAGAGATCTTGGGTTTGCACCCCAAAAACCCATGGATTTGTATTGTGATAACACAGCTGCAATTGTGATTGCTCGTAACCCTATGCAACATGATTGTACAAAGCACATGGAGGTTGATCGACATTTTATTAAAGAGAAGGTGGATGCTGAGATTGTTTCTTTTCCATTTATATCATTTGAGTATCAACTGGCAGATGTACTTACAAAAGCTGTGTCTATTATTGTCTTTCTCAACTTGCTTGACAAGTTGGGCATGCGTGACATCTTCGCTCCAACTTAGAGCATCTCCACCCATAAGGGCTAAGTCTAGAGCAAGGGCAAGCAAGGGCTGCCACTGTTCACGTGAATAGTGTCAGCCTTGTCATTTGTGGTTCCACCCATGAAGACTAAGTCTAGGGCAAGTATAAGGTAAATACTATTCATTTTACTTTATTATATATATATTTTTTTTACTTAAACCATTAATTTTGATAAGCTTTTTAGATTATATTTTCGGTTGTCACGTGTCACTATTTATTATAAAATTCTCACTTAAAATTTAAGATAACATTTTTCGGATAAAATTCACATCTCACTCATCATACAATTGAAATACCTACTCACTCATCATACAATTGAAATATTCTTGGTCCTCATAGTCCGACACAATGGAATACAAGGACAACTCCATCATTGGCGGAGGCGGTTCCACCGGATCACGAAGTGGGGGAGTATTTTCCTTCGAAGGAAGTAATAGTACCATTATTTCTGACACGGAACACACCACTAGAACCGACTGCGGGCATTGTTCACTTGAGGAGCCATGTGTAATGGTTTTCCCTTGAATAATCTATTTTTTTTATTATAAAGGAAATTGGAAATGCAAGAAATATATATGTAAAAAAATGACATTAAATTGAATAAAACGGCAAAAAAAAATAATTTTACCTCGTCACCAAGATTTTGACCTCTTCGAACATTTGTCCATGACCCTCAAGCTTCGATGGAAGAGACCATTTGTATTTTTGCACAAATGAAATTTTGTAATAGAAAATTTGGTGTGGAAAGTGAAAAATATTGGAATGAGATGAATTTGTATGAAGATTTGGTGTGAAAAGTGAATAATATTGGTAGGTATTTATAGAAAAAATTTCAATAATTTTTTGATATATTTTTTAAAAAATTTAGATATTTTATTCAATTTTTTAAAGCTAAAAATTGGATAGCCGTTGGATTGGGCAAGATTTTTTGATCGGAGGCTCAGGAGAAGCCACGTGGCTTATAACCGTTGGGCTATGTGGGCTGGTGGGTCAGTGCTGACATCAGTGGCTGATTTTCAAATTTTTTTACTGTTGGCCCGTGTATTCCATGCGCCAACAGAAAAAAAAATTTCAAAATTAGGCGCTGATGTTAGCATGACGTCACGCTGACATCAGCGTCCCGAGGGCAACAACCCAGGCAGGATTAGCCCATGGGCTTGCCCAAGCTGGTGGGACCCACCATTTGCCCGGGCTCATTGTTGCGCGCTGGAGCTGGAATGGGTTGCCAGGGGGGCCTTTTTGGTGCAGCGGTGGACATGCTCTTAAGGGGGAGTGTTAGCAAGATCCTAGCTTAATTTTGAGATTTATTTCATAGTCTATTAAAACTCTATTTCTTTCCTTTTTGTACAGATATTGTGTAACTAAGATTTTATCTTATTTCCTTGTATAACCCTACTAGGGTTACAACCTTGTATTATAATTACATTCTTTTGGAGAATGAAATATATCAGAAAATATTCTACCCCATATTGTTTGACTAAATATACAAATAAATCACCAGTTCAAAATTTCATATTTATTTTGTTTAAAATTAATTGGAAGGGAAGTTCTATTCTCTTGGATAATTTTCATACAAAAGCCAAGAGAACTCTAGGGAAGCATTGCGCTGGTTGCTGATCCTGTCTTCGTCCATCAATTTCCAACGGATATATGACTCCAAAGACTTTGAAGTCTTCATATGAAAAGTCATGTTGGCCCACACGTGTCCAGACGTTGATTTCTTCTTTTCTGCTTTTCCAATTTTTTGGGTCAAAAGACTTTTCCAATTTTTTGGCAGTCTTTGCATGCCCACTCATATTTAGCTTACTCGTGGACAAACATTCATTTTCTTTTTGTCCTTCATTTTTTTTTCCACAAACGTTGATGGTTTGTCTCCTTTTGTAAATCGTTTAACGAACAGAGAAGAAAATTAAGTCTACAAATATATCTTGAGCAGTGGCGGATCCAGGATTGTCGCCTCATGAGGTCATACTGTAAAAGTTTCAAATTTTTTTTTACTATATTTAGAGGTTGTGCTGTTGTGTATAAATTTGAGCTCTGAAAGTTTACATACCAGATGGGTAATTTCCTTTAAAATTTCCTTAGGGAGAAGAGCTATAGTATAAATATTATATGTTTGCTTAGGTGAAAAGGACAATTTCAATGTAAAAAAGAAAAAAACCCTTGAAGTTGTATTTTGTTGCATTTAAAAGCACATACCAGTCCCCTACAAAGAACTGCATTAATCAGTTATGTGATAGGAAATTTGAATAGAGATCATTTCTTCAAGTCTTGAGTCGAACTAGGTAAAACAGAAAGAAAGGGGGAAAATAAATAGATGCATTTATGTGGCAATACAAAGAAAGAAAAAAAAAGACTCAGAGAGCTCCAATGATGGGATGCAATCAATTTATTGAGCACCATACAGTCCTGATCAGTTACCCCCACCCAAAAGAACAGGAAAGGGAAAAAAATCAGAAGAAGCAGCACCCTGCAGAACTGAAGGCGGATATCTTAATTGTGTCCAAATATTAATGCCTAACATGATATTTAAAGCAGAGAAACTCCCAATGGCATACAATTAGTAATTAGAAATCATAACAGTGTAAACTTACCAGGAATTACAGATATAGCTGTTATAAGAGGACCATAAACTTATATATATATAATATGAGAGAGCAAATTTTTGACACAAAGATGTTTCTAGTTGTGTTGGTTTGCAGGGCCTCAACTTCCATTCAGGGTGCGACTTCAAAACCCACTTGTGTAGATCATAGTTTTAGTTCTTTTTTGATTTTTTTTGGTAACAACAATTAATAATCATAATAATTAAAAAAGCAAACACTTTATTTTCTGTAAATAATAATCATCACCAATATCTCTCCTTGGCTATCCTTTTTAATCCTTTGACAAAATTTTTTTTCAATTTCAAGGATTTCAACACAAAAAATCGACTTTAAAAATTGATAAATGTCACTCAAAAGCAAATAGTCAGATTTAAATCTAAATTCAAATTCAAGTATGTATCTAAATTTCAATTTATATATACTAAATGACTTACTTCATTATCAATGTTGATTGGTTATATAATGAAAGATGATTTGATTTGTAATTTGCATGCTAATTGATGATGATTTTTACTTTAAGAAAAAAAAACATTTATTGTATGGCATTATGTAATGGTGTAAGTTAGTGTTAGCTTATGTGACGCCCCAGTTTAAGGTTAGCATGGGCCCTCAAAATCTCAAGACCAGCCCTGAGTGCACCCGAGTTCGATTCACGTAATAGACAATCTTGAGACAGCCCAATATAATACTCCCCTATTTCCCTCCCTATCGAATGACAAAAATAAAATAAAAAAGATCAAATTGTAAAAAGTAAAATAAAAATTATAGTTGAAAATTTATTAAGTACATGACTAGTAAAATTTCTTTAAAGAATAGAGTCATATGCAAATGTGACCTAGCTAGCAGAAAAACCACCATAATGACAATTAGGGTCAAATTAAAATTTTGGTTTGTTTTTTTGAAACTTATTGTTTTTGTTGAAAGATAAAAACTGCTCTGTTGTCTGTCAATCACATAATATTGCAACCACTGTTTAAAGCAGCTTGTCCAATGTCAACACCAACATTCAATATCCCAACTACTTTCACAACCACTTACTGAAATAATAAATACCCGATCACAAGAAATTATTCAGTAATTATATAGGCAAAGGTCATGCTCCCTATTCTTTAGTTAAAATTTAGCTAAAAACACAAAAAAATTATTTCAGGAACTCTGTAAAATTTGAACTCCAATCATACTCCCTAAGTTAGGAAGTCATAAATACTATAGTTATTTTTTTAATTCAACATGATTGGTTATCATCTTTATAAAAAAAATTTGTTTGTATTAATTAAAAGTTTAAACTATGCATAAAACGAAACATCATTCAATTATAAGGAGCCACTAGGAGTCCTTTCTCTCTCCTCAGATTTTTAGGAGTTCCTAGAGGTCTCTCTATTTTAGGAGGTGAATAGAGATCATGGTTGGAGTTGTATTTTTCCAATTCCTCCCTAAAATTTGTATAAAGAGGTGGTTTAGAGACCCCATTGTGGATGCTTTAAGTGCGACTAATTATAGTGTACGTAGTATGAGACTATGTCACATGGTATAACTCGTTTGTTAGAATATATAAGTGGATATTTATTGATATTATATCATAAAAGTGGGAAATATTAACCATATTGCCTATCCATATTATAACACGTGGCTGCTAATCATGACTAGCCCTTGTTACAGTTTGATGTAAAGAATGGGTTCCTACATGGTGACCTCAAGGAAAAAATATGCATGGATCTTCCTCCTAGTATTCCTGTGACCTCCAAGGAGGGTGTTGTGTGTAAGCAGCGAAAATCTTTATATGGATTAAAGCAGTCTCCAAGAGCATGGTTTGGGAGGTTTGCAACATCTATAAAGAAATTTGGATATGTATAGAGTAATTCAGATCATACTTTGTTTCTAAAGCGTCATAAAGGTAAATTGACAACTTTAATTATTTATGTTGATGATATAATTGTAACTGGAGATGATCAGGTAGAAATGCAAAATCTTCAGAAGTATCTGGCTTCCGAGTTTAAGATGAAATCATTGGGTGATTTGAAGTACTTTCTTGAAATTGAAGTTGCCAGATCTAACCATGGTATCTTTTTGTCCCAAAGAAAGTATGTTTTGGATTTACTTGCAGAAACTGGAATGTTGGATTGTAAACTAATTGATACCCCTAGTGAACAGAATCATAAGTTGGGGTTGTATCTTGATCAAGTCCCAACTGATAAAGAGCATTATCAACGACTTGTGGGGAAATTGAATTATTTAGCTCATACACATTCTGATATTGCATATGCAGTGAGTGTAGTGAGTCAATTTATGCATTTTCCCAGTGAAGATCATATGGGTGCTGTGATGCGTATTTTGAGGTATCTGAAAGTAACTCTTGGCAAGGAGTTAATGTTTTCCAAGTATGATCATACAAATGTTGAAGGATATACGGATGCTGATTGGGCTGGCTTAGTCACTGATAGACGTTCTACGTCTGGGTATTTCACATTTGTTGGTGGTAATCTTGTAACTTAGATAAGTAAAAATTAAAAAGTAGTGTCTCGGTCTAGTGCTGAAGTCGAGTATCGTGGGATGGCTCAAGGTGTGTGCGAGTTACTATGGTTGATGAAATTGTCTAGAGATCTTGCGTTTGCACCCCAAAAACCCATGGATTTGTATTGTGATAACAGACTTGCAATTGCGATTGCTCGTAACCCTGTGCAACATGATCGTACAAAGCACGTGGAGGTTGATCGACATTTTATTAAAGAGAAGGTGGATGCTAAGATTGTTTCTTTTCCATTTATATCATTCGAGTATCAACTCGCAGATGTACTTACGAAAGCTGTGTCTATTACTGTCTTTCTCAACTCGCTTAACAAGTTAGGCATGCGTGACATATTCGCTCTAACTTAAGGAGGAGTGATAGCAAGATCCTAGCTTAATTATGAGATTTATTTCCTAGTCTATTAGGACTCTATTTCTTTCCTTTTCGTACAAATATTGTGTAATTAAGATTTTATCTTATTTTCTTGTATAACCCTACTAGGGTTACACCCTTGTATTATAAATATTTCCTTTTGAAGAATGAAATGTATTAGAAAATATTCTACCTCATATTGTTTGACTAAATATACAAATAAATCACCAGTTCAAAATTTCATATTTATTTTGTTTAAAATTAATTGGAAGGGAAGTACTATTCTCTTGGATAATTTTCATACAAAAGCCAAGAGAACTCTAGGGAAGCATTGCGCTGGTTGCTGATCCTGTCTACGTCCATCAATTTCCAACGTATACGACTCCAAAGACTTCCAAGTCTTCATATGAAAAGTCATGTCGGCCCCACACATGTCCAGACGTTGATTTCTTCTTTTCTGCTTTTCCAATTTTTTGGGTCAAAAGACTGACTTTGAAGTCTTTGCATGCCCACTCATATTTAGCTTACTCGTGGACAAACATTCATTTTCCTTTGGTCCTTCAATTTTTTTCCACAAACATTGATGGTTTGTCTCCTTTTGTTAATCGTTTAACGAACAGACATTACTACATTTTACAATTTGCACGACGAAGAGAATTTCATCGTGCAAAGTACATTTTAGTCGCACAAAGATTGTGCATAAAGATTTTGCGTGATGAAAACATATTGGTCACGCAAAGTGACTTTGCGCGACGAAAAAATATTGGTTACGCAAAGTTTTGTGCGACGAAAAAATATTGGTCGCCCAAAGTGACTTTGCGTGACGAAAAAATATTGGTCGTGCAAAGGTTTGCAGGACAAAAAACATTGGTCGCGTAAAGTCTTTAAAAAAATTTAAAAAAAATAAAAAATTCCCGTGTCTCATTTTTGGTACCCGCCCAAATTTTTAGAGTTTTGCGCTACGAATACTAAAGTAGCGCAAATATTTGCGCGACAAAATATTTTTTGTGTTTTAAATTTTTTTAATTAAAATAAACTCATTTAATAGTTTGCGCGACGAAATATTTTGTCCCACAAGGTTTTTGTCTTTTTGTTTTATTATTTCTTTAATATTAATTTAATTATATTAATTTATCCAAAATTTTGCTTTTTAAATTTAATTTAATTGTATGATTTATTTTAATTACTTTAATTTAAATTTATATTAATTTATTCAAATTTTTACTTTTTAAATTTAATTTAATTGTATGATTTTTTTTTAATTACTTTAATTTAAGTTGACATATTCAAAATAAAATTACATATGAAAAATAGTGATCAAATTATCCAATAAATATATATATATATAATATTCAAAATGTACACATAAATTAACAAAGTACAATAATAAATTCCTAATACAAGCCTATTGTAGTGGTAGTGGCGGAGGATATGTTTTGATAGCTTCCCAATCCTCAACTTTAGCCGTCAAAGTCTCGATGATTCCCTACAAAAAAACAAATATGGTCAAATAACCAAAAATAAAATAAAAATTGACATAATCTCCCCTAAAATTTTTATACCACAAATCCAACCCAAACTCCAATCCTTACCCTATACTCAACCCCAAACTCCACACATACTCAAAACTAACTCCAAAAACACATATTAATGAAAAAAATATTAAAATTTGGAGAGAATATAACTTTTGGCAAGATTGAGAGTGAGTGAGAATGAGAGGGAGAAGTGAGTGTGAAAGAATTAGAGAAGATAGTGAGAGAGAGAGATGAGAGAGTGAGTGTGAAAGAATTAGAGAAGATAGTGAGAGAGAGAGATGAGAGAGTGAGTGAGAGTGAGAGATAGTGAAGAGAGAGATGAGACAGTGAGTGAGAGTGAGAGATAGTGAAGAGAGAGATGAGAGATTAAGTGAGAGGAGTGAGTGTGAGAGAAATGGTGGGATTTGGGGACAGGGAAAGAGAGAGGAGAGGTAAGACTAGAGAAAGACATTGAGAAAATGGTGGAGGGGTTATTTTGGTTTTAAAAACCGTATCACTTTGAGCGACGAAAAATATTGTTGGTAGTACAAAGTTTTGTGTGACAAAAAATATTAGAATATTGTTCGCGCAAAGTTTTGCGTGACGAAAAATATTGGTCGCGCAAAGTTTTGCTCGACGAATACTGGAATATTGGTCGTACAAAGTCTAAAAAAAATTATATAAATAAATAAATAAATTCCCGCATCCCATTTTTGGCACCCGCCCAAAATTTTAAATTTTTGAGCGACTAAAAATACATATTGGTCTCACAAAGTCTAAAAAAATTATATAAAAATATTCCCGCGTTCCATTTTTGGTACCCGCCCAAATTTTTGCGCGACGAAAAATATATATTGGTCGCGCAAAGTTTTGAGCGACAAAAAATATTGGTCGTGCAAAGTCTAATTTTTATTTATTTTAAACCTCTCGTCCCATTGTTGGTACCCGTCCAAATTTTTAGAGTTTTGCGCGACGAACTGTTGGTCGCGCAAACTTTTGAGAGATGAAAAATTGATTCGTAGCACAATATTTATAAAAATAATTGTTATGAATAATAAAAAAATAAAATTATTTTATTTTACGATGTAAAATATAAATAAGGTTAAAGCTACTTAATAAATATATATACTATTCAATTTCTTAAGTGTTATACGTACAAAATAAATAAATTTAAAGCTACTTAATAAATATATATATATATATACACACACCATTCAACGATCCAACCATCAGACTTGTTTGTATATGCTTCAAGATCGTATACCCCAAAAATCGAAAAAAACAAACATTCAGAGATCCAGTAACGGGACAAAACTTTTTGATGGTTATAAATGAAAAATCACGATTTAACGGTTATTTTAACTCCGATTTTGATGATTTTTTACAGCTACACTCCTTGACCCTATACGAATACAATGACTGAATTTGATCTTCAATTTAAAATATTTACACTAGTGGATACCACAAAATCTTATGTTTTATTTAATGAAAGTATAAATAAATTCTTAATTGTTAGTGAATATATTATTTTGATGGCATACGCATTCTACGAAACTAGTTTCAACAATCCAACCATCAAACTTGTTTGCTTATACTTCGAGATATGTAAAACAAAAAAAAAAAAAAAAAAAAAAAAAAAACAAAGATCAGGTAACGGGATAAAACTTTTCGACAGTTATAAATGAAAAATCACGATTTAACGGTTATTTTAACTCCGATTTTGATGATTTTTTACAACTACACTCCTTGACCTTATATGAACACAATGACTGAATTTGATATTCAATTTAAAATATTTACACTAGTGGATACCACAAAATCTTAGGTTATATTTAATGAAAGTATAAATAAACTCTTAATTGTTTGTGAATATATTATTTTAATGGCATACGCATTTTACGAAACTAGTTTCAACGATCCAACCGTCAAACTTGTTTGTTTATACTTCGAGATCATATAAGCCAAAAATCGGAAAAGATAAACATTTAGAGATCAAGTAACAGTACAAAACTTTTCGACGGTTATAAATGAAAAATCATGATTTAACAGTTACTTTAACTCCGATTTTGATGATTTTTTTACAGCTACACTCCTTGACCCTATATAAATACAATGACTGAATTTGATCTTCAATTTAAAATATTTACACTAGTGGGTAACCACAAAATCTTATGTTATATTTAACGAAAGTATAAATAAACTCTTAATTGTTAGTGAATATATTGTTTTAATGGCATACGCATTCTACGAAACTAGTTTCAACGATCCAACCGTCAAACTTGTTTTTTTATACTTCGAGATCATATACACCAAAAATCGGAAAAAATAAACATTCAAAGATCAAGTAATGAGACAAAACTTTTCGACGGTTATAAATGAAAAATCACGATTTAACGGTTATTTTAACTCTGATTTTGATGATTTTTTACAGCTACACTCCTTGACCCTATATGAATACAATGAACTAATTCGATCGTCAATTTAAAATATATATTTTCTAACAAAAACCCAATCCGAACTACAAAAATATATTTTTCTAACAAAAATCCGATCCAATCTAAAATAATAAATTTAAAGCTACTTAATAAATATATATACCGTTTAATTTCTTAAGTGTTATGCATACAAAATAATAAATAAATAAAAATTGGTTTAGGCGACGAAATGTTTGGATTACATCATGCAAAGATTTTAAAAAATAATTTTTTCATTTTATTTATTTTTGTAAGGACTTTGCGTGACGAAGTTTATTTTTTTGTCGTGCAAAGTCACTTTGAGCGACGATTTATTGTCGTCGCGCACGCGCAAAGTGACTTTGCGCGACGAATTGTTTTTTGTCGCGCAAAATTTGGTCGTGCAAGACTTTGAGCGACAAAGTTTTGAGTTTCGTCGCGCAAAGTCACTTTGCGTGACGAATTGTTTTTCGTTGCGCAAAATTTGGTCGCGCAAGACTTTGAGAGACGAAGTTTTGAGTTTCGTCACACAAAGTGACTTTGAGTTGGTCGTGCAAGGGGTTTTTTTTACTAGTGAGAGAGAAGAAAATTAAGTCTACAAATATAGCTTGAGCAGTGGCGGATCCAGAATTATCACCTCATGGGGTCATAGTGTAAAAGTTTCAAACTTTTTTTACTATATTTAGAGGTTGTGTATAAATTGGAGCTCTGAAAGTTTACATACTAGATGGGTAATTTGCTTTAAAATTTCCTTAGGGAGGAGCTATAGTATAAATATTATATGTTTGCTTAGGTGAAAAGGACAATTTCAATGTAAAAAAGAAAAAAAATAGATATCATTTCTTCAAGTCTTGAGCCGAACTAGGTAAAACTGAAGGAAAGGGGGAAAATACATAGATGCATTTCTGTGGCAATTCAAGGAAAAAAAATATGAAGACTCAGAGAGCTCCAATGATGGGATGCAATCAATTTATTGAGCACCATACAGTCCTGATCAGTTACCCCCACCCAAAAGAACAGGAAAGGGAA